TCTAGTTACACAGGCCTTAGGGCCAAAAGGGTTCACAAACACTAAACCCTAAACCCTAAACCCTAAACCCTGAACCCTGAACCCTGAACCCTGAACCCTGAACCCTGAACCCTGAACCCTGAACCCTGAACCCTGAACCCTGAACCCTGAACACCCAACCAAGAGCTGCCGCGGAGGCTTGCCTACTGCCAGGAGCTGGATGGTCTCGCCTTCTATCGATCCGTGAAGGGTGCCCTTGCTTTAAAAGAGCCCGTCAAACCCCCAAGAAGAACCCTGGCTCTATACCCTAAAGCAACCAGCCGGTTTAGGGTTTCGGGCTGAGGGTTTATGTCTAGGAAGAACCCTGGCCTCGCACCCTAAAGTTTCCCTTCCTACCCCTTAAACGGTAAATCCTTGTTGGAGGTACAAGGCCACGGTACGCTTAGACCTCCAATGTTTGCACTTATTTCGGCAGCTCCTACCGGTTAGTAGAATCAGGTACCCCCCCCCCCCCCCCCCCCCCCAGAAAAGATGGAATCACACTAAGTCCCGAAAAGCCCAAAATCCTCAGTAGCTGAATGAGTACACTTTACACTTTTTTTGGGATACTACAACCCCCCTAGAGCACTGAAAGTGTACACTTTTGGAGGGGCTTATGAACTCAGCAACTAGGGATCCGAATGAGCCCAAGAAGCTGAGGGCTCAGAGCAATACGGGGTTCACGCGGGACTAGCCCCGAGCATTGTGTAGGTGTTTGTGAGTTGGAATGGGGTTTAGGGTTTAGGGTTTCGGGTTTCGGGTGTCGGGTTTCGGGTTAGTGCTTCAGGCACATTAGGCACATGTTGTATTTTTCGAAGCATAGTTTGCTAACTTCGATCGGGGTTTGGGGGGTGTGGGGGTTGTAGCAGATTTTGTGATTTGGGCATCGCACGTCCTGTCCTGAACATCCAGACAGCAGGCATCCTCACTTGGAGGCACCTTGATGGTTGAAGTCTGCGGGTTGAGGGTCATCCAAAACGCCAGTAGAGCCAGCCCTAGACCTAAGAGAGCTGGGCTGCAATGTCTAGATGGGCACCGGGCGTTTGCAGGAAGAATACGCCTCGAACCCTCAAGCCCTAAATCTTAGATCTTAAGCCTTGGCTACACCCCTTATAGGCCCCAACTTGAACAGAGTCAACCTTTCTGGACCTCGTCATGGTCTCCTGCTCTGGGCATGTTCGTTCCTTAGTGTACCACAAAAGGCCAACAAGTTCAGATTGCTGGGTTTAGGGTAGAAAGTTTAGGGTTCTGGGTTTTAGGGTTTGGGGGTTTTGGGGTTTCTGAACTGGGGTGGGTGGGCTGGGTGGGCTGGGTGGGCTGGGTGGGCTGGGCTGGGTGGGCTGGGTGGGGTGGGGTGGGGTGGGGGTGGGGTGGGGGTGGGGTGGGGGTGGGGTGGGGGTGGGGTGGGGGTGGTGGGGGTGGGGTGGGCGTGGCGGGCTGGGCTATAGCCTCCGTAGGACTTTTATGGGTACTAAAGTGAGTACAAGCTCAAGCAATGCCAGTACAAAACCCAAGTTAGTTCCCCCTACTGGGGCTGTTTATAAGATTACTAGGACTCAGAGTACTTGGAGGTTCATGGTGCTTATCAACCAGTTATAACTGTACTTATAACCCACTTATAAGCCCCTTAAGTGCCCTAATATTGTTACAAGTACAGTTATAAGTACAGTTCTAATGAGTTATTTGTACCATAAACCTCCAAGTAGGCAATTTTTCCTTTGTGGGGCGGCGGGCTTAGGTTCCCTTGTAACCCGCTCAAAACCAAAAAGGGCACCTTTTTTTGACTCTTGGGTCTAGACCACCCTATACTTACTATTTTGCTTAAGAACCTCAAAAAACAAGAATAAAACCATTGATAGTAATAAACTAACACATACAAAAATTAATTTAAAAACAAACAAATGCAATGATGAGGGAGCACCTCCGAGCAAACCCTGCGCCTGTCGTCTAGACTTCAAGGCTGCCTGGCGCAGTTCGGGCTGCCTGCGCGCAGGTTCACATGGGATCCTAGACCACCCTAACGGGGCTTAGGGCCTAGAGTTGAGGGTTGAAGGTTTAGGATCAGAGTTGAGGGTTTAGGGTTTAGGGTTTAGGGTTTGGTCCTATACCAATTAGAGCTCTATACTTCCCAGTTCCGTCCCAAACATTTCAGGTTATGTGGGTCTTGGTGAATGACCGGGGTAGCATACGATCCCATGAAGCTCCTAGGCGAGATGCGCGTTTTCCAACTTCCTGGGTGATGGCTTCGCGCCTCGGGGTTTAGGGCTTAGGGTTTAGGGTTGTCAGGGTGTTGGATCGAGAAATCAGAAGAGCATCCCGAAACCCTGATCACCCTAAACTTCTGCCTTCACCATAGCGACATGCACCCCGACAACGGCAAACACAGCAACCGCCCCTACCCACCCACTGCCTTCCGCCTGCCATCCTCCCACCGCAACCGCAGCAACTGCAAGAAGAAGAAGAAGAAGAATGAGGAAAGAATAATAGGAAGAAGAAGAAGAATGACAATAAACAGGACACACACACACACACACTATCAACAACTACCCCAAATTCAACGAAAACAACTAGAAACTTTAAACCCCAAACCCCGCAGGTTGTGGCCTCCTCTACCAGATGATCCGCCCACGGGAGTTCCCTTCCTCCTGGGCGCCGTGTGCTTCGTGGGGGTGCCTAGCAAGCGGTTTAGGCCTTACAGGGTATAGGGTTTATAGGCCTATACAGAGTTTAGGGCTTATGGCCTTCAAGGTCTAGGTTTTGGGAGAGTTTCTGAACCCTAAACCCCATGAATTCGACCGTAAACCCTAAACCCTGAACCTCGAGTTGAAACACAAGAGGTTTAGGGTTTAGGGTTTAGGGTTTAGGGTTTAGGGTTTAGGGTTTAGGGTTTAGGGTTTAGGGTTTAGGGCCACAATCTCGTTCGCTTCTTCGCTTCTGCTTTGTGCAGGGTTGTTGGGCCGCACGCTGTCAGTCTGCCGGGGTTCGTAGTGCAGGATACAATAAAAATGTTGACAGAGCTTTGGCTTTTCTCTATGTAAGAAAACAATAGGCATCGTGATCATCGCCATCATCACAAATATTAGCAAGGAGATGTATGGCCATAGTAGAAACTTTTGTCTTGATAAGAATAACTTGAAATGGTCAGAAACAACAGTAGCAACAATGTCCATAGCTCCTGCCCCTCATACAGACACCCGCCGCCACCTCCCCTCCCCACCCTAAACCCTAAACCCAGTCGGGCTGGGTTCAGGGCGGTCTGGGAAACACATGTCAGTTTAATAACATCCATAGCCAGAACAACAATCATAGCAATAACAAGCATTGCTAACATACTACAATATCTGAATGATTATAAGATCCATATTCGTTGTAATAGCTGTATTAACCAGAATAACGCGAATGTCTACAATACCAAAAAGCATAACAATGAGAATGTCTAAAACAACAAAAAGTGATGAGTATGCGAAGTGTGCTGACTAGATAGTGGTCATGGTCGTGAGGCCAGTCAGCAGGGGTGGAGGGTGGGGGAAGGGAGCCTCCTCTACAGATCCAGATCCAGCACGCGCAAACTGACAGAGAGGGACCTCGTCGGCCCACGCGGACAGATGACGGACAGTAGAGGGGCATGAGAGCAGCAGCAACAGCATAAGTATGAAACCACTATAGCCAGAACTACAACAATATGAATCAACTATACGATCAATAATATCCATAGTATCTAGAATTTCTTTACTATCTATAAACCCATAGCCTGCGACATCCACAGTACCTACAATATCTATGGTATCTTCATTAGCTGCAAGAAATCTACTAACGTCTGAAACATCTGCACTAGCGATCTAAGCAACAATGACAGACGTAACGCGAGGAACAATCATACCAAGGAGGGGCCCCCTTACTATACTAACTGAGTTAAGGGACTTAATTATAACCCAATTCTGGATCCTTATAACCCAATTCAGGGCTCTTATAACTTTACGTAGTTAAGTGACTTAGGACCTAATTTAGGTTCCTTATAACCCAATTTAGGGCTCTTATAACTCTGCGTAGTTCAGGGACTTGTAACCTAATTAGGATCCTTAGAACGCTATTTAGGGCTCTTATAACTCTACTTATAGCTAGGGGGGGGCCCTCCTTGTGCCAAGAAGTGGCAGGGGGGCTTTGCATTCCGGCTTCACGGTTTGGTGTCTGGTTCTTAGTAGGAAGTGAGGGAATGAGGGCCCTATATAATCCCTTTAAGGGTATATATATATATATCTTTATATATTTATGGGGCCCTCATTCCCTCATTCCCTACTAAGAACTGCGCTCGAGTCAGCCCCTAAACCCCTATAAACCCCCAAACCCTAGCAACTACTCACCTACCACACGACCTTCCGGAGGCTGCAGCTGGTGAGAGCTCGAGGAAGTCGACGCCACTGGTCCTCATTGGCTTGGGGGAGGGGAGGGGTGCGGGCTGTCAGGGGATGCTTCGACTGTACGTAGAAGCTGATGCACATATCTTGAGGCGTGTCAGAGGCCAAGGCTACTGGCAGCACGCTGTCGACAATAAGTAGCAGCACCAGTGTCAGGCTCCACTATAGGCTCTGAGAGCAGTTTGACAAACAAATCGGGTGGGTGCACGTTCTCAAGCAGGGATTCGGGGGTTTAGGGTCTGGGGTTTAGGCTTTAGGGTTTAGGGTAGGTAGGGATGAGGGTGGTTGGAAGGGACAGCTATGGTATGGTCGATTTGGGCATGCTGCATGCTTGAGCTGGTCCGCGCTGCCTGGAGAGCCAAAGACTTGCCCTAAACCCTAAACCCTAAACCCCAAACCCTAAACCCTAAACCCTAAACCAGCTTCGCCTTGATCGCGATTTTCGGCTCGTCGCTCAAGTCGGTATGTTGCATTTGATAGAACAAACCTTTTGTGACATGACTTTGTTGTGAATCCAATTCTGTAGGCAGACTTGTGCACCTGTGCTCCACAATTCCACACCGTGCCATGAAGAGTGCTGAGACCCAAAAGCGTCAAAAACCGCCAGCCTTCCTGAAAGACCTGGATTGGCACAAGTTCGAAGCAGCTGCTCTACCTGTGACAAAGGTGTACAACCCACCGCAGTTGGTCAGCAGCTGTAAGGGAGTTTGTGCCCGTGTCTCCATGTGCTTCAACTGCTTGTTTACCCATCGCTCACCTGTCTGTGCTAAGCCGCTGATCCCGTGCTGTTGTGCCAGCGCTGTGCAGGGGTGCATCCCAAAGTTGGCGGATGTGAAGCTTTCGGAACCAGATGAATGGTTTGTGAAGATGCTCAGCGTTGAGCACCCGAACACTCCCGAGTTCTTGAAGGGGATCTTTTGGATGGAGGACAACTATGCCCCCGAAGTCCTGTTGACATTTCAAGACATGGACTGGGTCTCGGGAGAGCAAGGGTACTTCAACCCCAAGTACAGTTGGACGAACGATCCAACTTGTATCGGCACGACGTGCTTGTGCATGCATCTCAACAACTCTCCAAGCACTGCATGGCCGTTTACATTATCACCAAACGGCAAGTGGATCAACATCAACCCACAGTGGATCTACATACCTGGAGAGGGTGAGACCATCACGCGACCAGATGGCTCTGTTGTGGAGATGGGGCCAAGGGACATGATTCGAGTGAGCTTTAAGAATGCCAGTGATCCGACATCAGGAATGAACTACCAGTACCTCGTACGCCTCGTGGCCTACGTGGAAGATGGAAAGCTCATCAAGACAAAGGCCTACGATGAGCTTCGCCGGAGAGCAACGATGAACAACATCATCGGTGGCTGCCCCTGGGGCTACTACGACTGCTCGGCTGTCGGAGAGAACTACATCTTCGATGCGTACGAACCATTGTCAGATCGGCAGAGGCTCCTGTTCCCTCCGCCCCTGGAGGTCATGTGGCCCGATTCGATGCCTGCTGTGTAGCACAGGCGATGAGGTCGCTGGCCCGATTGGGGTCCCTGCTACTGGACAGGCTTTCGAGATGAATGCACTGAAGCACGGAAGCACTGAGGCTAGGTGCGGGGGGGTGGGGGGGTCGCACTTCTCACTTGTTTTAAACCAGGCAGGGCCTTGGGGATGCTTTACTTGTTCCTTTGGTTGGGTTTACTAGGACGACAGTTTGGAATATGTCTCAGAGGTTTTAAGGGCCATCTTAGCAAAGTTTGAGTCGCAACACCTTGACATGGCGCATCTTTGCGGACGCTGTTTGGAACAGTTGTTTGGGTCTCGTGTGACTTGTTAAATTCCCCCTAGGCCTGTCTTGATTGTGCTGCCCGTGAGGTGGGCAAGGATTTTGATGGCTCCTTTGCTCTAGTGTACTACCATTTGCGTTCTTCCTTATCAGGGCAATATAGAGATTATTACTCGTTTTTGGAGAAGCAAATGGTAGGTAGAAGCCTTTTGCCACGCGCACGTCATAATGGCCGCTTACATCACATGCTTCTGTGTGTGGGTCGGCCGATTCGGGTTTCCTGTACATTCTGCCAGCAGTTTCTAGATGTGCAGCTGCCGGGACACGTGCCTGACCAACGGCCAAGTGTGTCGCTAATTATGCGTTGCCAGACGTCGCATTTCGAAGCATAAACCTGAGAAGTTGCACGCAGTGCTGCCTCCGACCATCACGAACTGCTCAGTCCTATCAACTGAAGCTTCTGGGCTCCAACTGTTACGTCACCGGGATCTGCGCTGAGGCTGTTCATCTGCACTGGCGACATGTGCTGGCCTCAGCAACTTCTACACCGAACTCCCCAAATCCTGAAATAATCAGCCTGGCTCCTGCAGCCTCCTGAAGCCCCCCTAAACCCTAAACCCTAATCCCTAACCCCTAAGCCCTAAACCATCCCTAAACCCTAAACCCTAAACCCTAAACCCTAAACCCTCAGGAAGGCCTTCAAGTCCCAAGCCGTTAACACCAGGCTGCCTCAGGAGAAGTGGAACCTGAAGTCTGTTCTTTGGTCAGGGTTGGGGTTTAGGGTTGGGGGTTAGGATATGGGTTTTGACTCGGGCTTAGGGTTTGAAGGTTTAAGGTGTGGAGTTTGCTGTTGACTTGAAGGCGAATTCTGTTCGCAAGCCAATGCGCAGGAAACCTGCACAGTGGACGTGCTGCGTACTTTGAGGTGTTTATGACACACAGAGGTAGTACCCCTAAGACCCAAGCCCTTGAAAGAGAGATAAGCTACAGGCTTCTGACAATTCAAGCCTTGTTTAATCTAGAGCAACAAGGGTAGGGTATTCCCCGCTTAGCTTCTTGGTCTCTCCGGCGAGGGTTTTAAGGTTTGTTGGGTTGAACCCTAAACCCTAAACCTTAGAAACCCTAGACCCTAAGCCCTAAACCCTAAACCCTAAACGGGACCTTGTTGGGTCCGTGCTCATCCTGGCACGACATCAGGTCCCACTGTTTCGGGCAGAGTGCCTGGGAGACGTGCCCTCCTCGTACGCGTTGAGGGTTTAGGGTTTACTGTTTAGGGAGTTTCCTGATTTTGAGGGTCTCAGGGTCAAACGCCAGTCTAATTCAGCTGGAAGTGAGGTGTAAGTTCGATTCCTACTGCAGTGCTGGCGGTTCCAAAGGGCTACTTGTTGGGCATTTGTGGTCATTCGTCGCAAACTGCTATAGAAAGCTTGAGACTACATGGCTCGGCTCCTGTCGGGCTTCTCCGCATCTACCCAAGGAGCACACAAGATCTCCCCAGCGGCAAGTTGAGATATAGGGACTCCTCTGCTTAAAGGCTGAATGGTTTAACTTTCATACTCTTAATATTGCGAACCTTCTTCCGTAATTCTTGTGCGTAGATGCGCACCTTGAAGTGCAAGCTTTTGCTCGAAGGTATAGACGTAGAAGCTGCAGAAGTACGAAAGCAGGGAACGAGTTGAATCTGCCATCTGGTGGCCTAGGACTCCCACGGCCTATCCGATCCACTTCCCCATCTTTTACGGGGTTAGGTCCCGTTAGGTACCCCATGAACTACACTCAGTTCGTCCCTAAACCCTAAACCCTAAACCCTAAACCCTAAACCCTAAACCCTAAACCCTAAACCCTAAACCCTAAACCCTCGCTAAGCTGCCCTTGTTGCAGACTCCATGTCCGCAACCTGAGGCCCATAGGCGCAGTCGCCGAGGCGTCCCTCGACGTGCCATGCGCCCGGCCGTTGTTGGCGTCTCCTTGGTTTAGGTCTTATAGGGTTTAGGGTTTTTTTTGGGGGGTTTGGGCAAATTTGGAGTTTGGGGTTTGGGATTCAGGGAACAATTCGTGAGCGCTTAGTACCAGTGCTGCCAATGCTTATGAAGGTTGTCCCTCCCTCTGACAACCTTCCTGGCCCCTCTTAATCCTTCAACCCTCAACCACGAGATCTCCCCAACCACAGGCCCTCCCCCACACAACTTTGGAACCCCAAACCTCTCGATCTTACATGTCTTGAGAGGCTGTAGGGCTTGTGGATGTTGATACCCTAAGCCCTAAACCCTAAACCCTAAACCCTAAGCCCTAAACCCTAAACCCTAAACCCTAAGCCCTAAACCCTAAACCCTAAACCCTAAACCCTAAACCCTAAACCCTAAACCCTAAACCCTAAACCCTAAACCTAACCCTAAACCCTAAACCCTAAACCCTAAACCCTAAACCCTAAACCCTAAACCCTAAACCCTAAACCCTAAACCCTAAACCCTAAACCCTAAACCCTAATTAATGGTGTGGGCTTTTGGGGCTTGATAGGGGCTGTGGGATAGCGAATCGCTATGTATACGTAGCACGGTGCCGCACGGTCAGTCTATGCTCCCTTGAAAAAAGACCTACCAAGGCCAAAACAGGGGCTCGCCGTTTTCCCCATGATACTGAGGAACCAGGCAAAAAAGGCTTTATGGGGTTTAGGGCATAGGCGGCATAGGGTTTAGGGTTTTGAAGGGTTATAGGGTTTAGGGCAGGTTCCCAATCGCACATCGCTTTGACGACCTGCGCCAAGGCTTGAGCGCATCGAGAGCTGCTACGGCGACATTGCGGAGTGCGGAGGGTGTGGTCCCTGGCGCATGGGAGACGTGGGGTTGTGCCCAGACCCCTAGGAGGATCCCAAAAGTAGAGCCGCCAAATAGTATCCTGGAACCCTGAAGGTACTTTTTGGATCAACTTAGTAACTGAGTAGGTAACTTTATTATATTTTCATATCATCCTACCATGATGGAAAGGTTGACATATTCTGGCCCAGGGTTACTCAGCAACTAGGGCAAGGCCTCGTGTTTTTTTGAGCTTAGGGCGGATTATAGAAGGTTTTGTTCGGGGGTGCTGCATGTACCCACTGGTTCATGGTCGGGAGTCAGGGGGGTTAGGTACCCTGTATAGTCACTTGAAGGTTTATGTACACTAAAGCCCTTCTAAGAATGAGTGAGTATCCAACCCAGACGCTAACCCCTAAGCCCTTGTAAGCCCCGCAACCTCAACACTGTCGCTCACAGATTTCCCCCTGAGTGTGGGATCAAGTCAGGTTTATCCTCAACCCTAAACCCTAAACCCTAAACCCTAAACCCTAAACCCTAAACCCACCGCTGCTGTGGCTTGGCCTTTGAAGGGTTTCGGGGCGAAGGGCTTACGAGGCCGAAGGTGGCTCTGGTTCCTCAGCCCTGCGAGGTTCTGTTTAGTGCCCTAAAGCCTAAGCCACGGTTTGGGGTTTAGGGTTTAGGGTTTGGGGTTTAGGGTTTAGGGTTTGGGGTTTGGGGTTTGGGGTTTAGGGTTTGGGGTCCTAAGCCCCAAACCCTGAGCCCTAAGCCCAAAGCCCAAAGCCCTATAAGCCCTATGCCCTTGGCCCTAACTTTAGGGTTCAGGGTCCACAGGGCTTGGGGGCTCGGGCCCACGCTGCAAAGCCTTGGAGCACAAGATGAAAACCGTGCACCCTTATATTATATGGGGTTTGGGGTTTAGGGTTTAGGGTTTAGGGTGCCCTGAGCGTTACGCTCCATATGCCCCCTGTACACCCTGTGTGCCCTATATGCCTACATGCCCTATATGCCCTACATACCCTGTATTGTCTGTATACCTTAAGCCGTAGAAACCCAAAAAACCCTGAACCTCGAGGCCCCCTTGTGGCATAAAGCCCCTTGAACGGAAGCCTTACCTGAGTACTCGTTTAGGCTTCGGGGGTTTAGGGTTTAGGGTGAAGTGAAAGCCCAAGACTCGGACAGTAAGTCCTCTTTCCGATAAAAAGCCATGTCTGGGATTTATCTTCTAAAGAGTTTAGGGTTTGGGGACCAAGAAAGCTTGCCCCTAAACCCTAAACCCTGAGCCCCAAGCCCTAAACCCTACACCCTACCTCAAACCCTGAACCCCAAACCCCAAACCCCAAACCCTAAACCCTACCTCAGTCTGGGGCCCGATGCGAGCCGGATCCATGCGGAGGCCGCTGGGGATTACGGGCTAAGGGTTGAGGGGTTTGGGGTTTAGGGTTTAGGGTTCAGGATGTAGGGTTAAGGTTTGTAGGGGGGTTTTAGGCTTTTTCGGGGATCTGGAGTTTCAGGTTGCAAGGCCTTTATTCAGGGGTTCCGATTTTGGGGGTCGATGGCTTCATGAGGGCTGCCACCACCAACTCAACCTCACCAGGCGTAGGGGCGGGCTCTTTCGAGCAGAGGCAAGAGCAGGGGTGTAGGCCTTTTTGAGGGCGCAGGGCCAATCTAAGAGCCCTTATTCGTGAGTAGGGCCCGAAAGACCCTCGAGCCCCGAAGGACTGAGACCCCCCCTAAACCCCTACACCCCTACACCCCTAAACCCCTAAACCCCTAAACCCCTAAACCCCTAAACCCCTAAACCCCTAAACCCCTAAACCCCTAAACCCCTAAACCCTAAACCCCTGAACCAAAGGAGCTTAGAACTTTGACGAAGAACTCCGCTGCAGGGCAACGCCTACCTGCGTGCGAACTTCCCCAAGCTGACGTACATCCAGCAGGCGAGATGTCTAGACTGGTGCCGCGCCCAGCCTGGGAGGGTTTATGATTTTAGGTTCAGGGTTTAGGGTTTAGGGTTTAGGGTTTAGGCTTGCAGCCGTTCAGGACTCACTCATGGCAAAGTATCGAGAAACCTTGGGTTGCAGGTCAGGGCTACTTAGGTATCAGATCATGCAGTGTCTGTATGTATAAACGTATAAATGAAGCACCCTAAACCCTAAACCCTAAACCCTAAACCCTAAATCCTAAACCCTAAACCCTAAACCCCCACAACAAAAAAAAAAAAAACACACACACACACACACGTGTAAGGCGAGGCTGATTTTGGGCCCTGTTTCGGCGGCCCAATGTACCTGCAATAGCGTTAACATTAAAACCAATACGAACACCAATGCAATACTGATCCAGAATGGTCACGCCCCTCTTAGCACCCCTTTCATAGCTCCTCAGATGTCGGGCCTCCCCTTTTATCCTCAGCCTTTGCAAGCTCGAAATACACCTGCATGAACCCAAGCAGTCTGTGCGCCAAACCCTCAGCCACGCAACGCCGAATCCCCAAACTCCACCACAAGATCTCGGAGGTGATTTAAGTACCTGTAAACCCAAATTCCCCCCACTCCACCCCATTTTTTCCTGATAAGCCAATAGAAACCCTAAATCTTTTCCCTGAACAGCCCTTAGCTCCACCCCGAACCTACTGTTTGCTTAAGAGCCTGCTAAGAAAATGAATGAGAGAAATCCCTATTTTACCCTCATGAGGAGGAATGTGTTGATTGTTTTGGGGAGCTCTTAAGCGAACAGTCGGGTTTAGGGTTTAAGGTTTAGGGTCTAGGGTTGAGGGTTTAGGGAATCTCTTCTGCTCTCTGCACCAAAGGCCCCAAGCTCCTGTCCAAGGCCGGTGGCGGATATTGCTTGGAGTTTGCAAGTTCGGGTTTAGGGTTTAGGGTTTAGGGTTCGGGTTTCGGATGCAACCCTCAAACCTGAGCAAGATCTTATAAGCTTCTACGTCCTACACGAGGAGCCATTATGATCCATGGTGTCATGCCTACGTCACTGTCACGGGACGCTTGAAGCAATTTTAGAGGCATACAGTGCTCGCGACGCCGTTGTTGAGACTGCCACCGCCACAAATTTGTGGAAGCAGTGTTTTTTTCCAAATGGAATGAATCAGGGTCTTCCAGATCTCTTAAAGACCTTTGCCTGACGAAAGCTCTGGCTATCCGTGGGATGCGGTTGCCCCTCAACAAGGGCTAGACAAGGGTTATATTTAGCTCAGTTAAGCAGCACCCTTGGGGCGGGCGGGAGAGTGGGAGGGTGTTTGAACCCTACACACTAAAGTCACCAAAAGCTGAACCCGAAACCCGAAACCCGAAACCCGAAACCCTAAACCCGAAACCCTAAACCCTAAACCCTAAACCCTAAACCCTAAACCCTAAACCCTAAACCCACTGAACCCCTGAAGCTTTTGTTTCTTGAAGGCGTCGCCGGCGGCCCCACGGCTGCTGATCGTGTGGGGCGCTCTGGGCTGTCCAGGGTTTAGGGGTTTAGGGGTTTAGGGGTTTAGGGGTTTAGGGGTTTAGGGGTTTAGGGGTTTAGGGGTTTAGGGGTTTAGGGGTTTAGGGGTTTAGGTTTAACGTTTTACGGTTTAGGGTTTAGGGTTTACAAGCCAGGGAAGTTTTCCTCGCCCCTAAATAGGGCCAAAATAAAGAGCTCAAGTACCTGGACGCCCGATTTAATATGTTTTGGGGGGGTGTCTTGATGTGCAGACAGCAAGAACTACAAGTGAATCCTTTGCCCCTCCCCCCCCCCTGCAAGCAATAAAGTAGCTATCGGGCGTATTCAAGCATGTTTTCGGGTTTAGGGTTCAAGGGGTTTAGGGTTTATGAGGGTTAAGGGTTTAGGGTTTTAGATTCGAGGTGGGTCTGCCCCAGGTCCAGGAGAGACCCGGACCAGTTGAGCAAGCTGCACCGGGACCTGCATACGGCGTGTGGGTCTTGGGGGGGGGGGGGGGGGGGGGTGGCCACAGTGGTTCGAGGTTAGGGTTTATTGGGCTTAGGGTTTAGGGTTGGTTTATGGTTTAGTGTGGTTTCTTTCCAGGTTTTGACTTGGAGAGGGTTGAGGGTCAATGGCGAGGTGTACAGGTCTCAAACGCTTTAGGGGTTTGGTTGGGGGATCTAAGGGATGACGGTTTGATGGGTTAAGGCGTTCAGGTCTTTGGCGAGGTAGGGTCCGCGGCTTGACGGTTTAGGGTTTCCGCTCTGAAGGGTGCTGCCATTTGCTTAAGAACCCCTCAAAAATGTAAGAGAATAATCCCTATATTATTCTTCCAGGAAAGACTACTTGTGTTTTTGTGAGGGGCTCTTAAGCCACTACTAGGTTGCTGGCTTAAGGGGTTGACGCATTTGGCTCTTTGGCGGTTTGGGGTTTGGAGCTTGAGGTCCCTAAACCCTAAACCCTAAACCCTAAACCCTAAAGCCTAAACCCTAAACCCTAAACCCTAAACCCTAAACCCTAAACCCTAAACCCTAAACCCTAAACCCTAAACCCTAAACCCTAAACCCTAAACCCTAGCAGCTTGAAAAGGTATAAAAAATGGCTGAAAACTACTTCGAAGGTGTGGGGTTTAGGGCATTTAACGAATTCAGGGTCCTGCATTGCACCCGCCTGCGTGTGGGAGCCCAGGGGTGCAGCTTCCGGTTTAGGGTTAGGGTTTAGGGTTTAGGGTTTAGGGTTTAGGGTTTAGGGTTTAGGGTTTAGGGTTTAGGGTTCAGGATTTAGGGTTTAGGGTTTAGGGTTTCGGGTTTCGGGTTTAGGGTGCACCGGTCGTTGTTGAAGAACAGCTGGAAGAATTGGTGCAGCTCTACAGTTGACATCAGCTGACATTCCCAAAGAGCCCAATACCCCTCAAAGTGAAGGAAGATACCTTCATGTATATAGGGATCCTTAGTATGAGTTTTTGGTATGTTCCGTAATTGAGGGGCATTGGGCTCTGTGTGTTTACGAAGGAATGACAGCGGGTCTGGCAAGAATTACATACGGCAGCGCTTCGCCCTGCAACTGTTCGCCAGTTTCCAGGATTTTTTTTTTTGGGGGGGGGGGGATCCATGGATCCATGGGTCTTAGTCTAGCCTGAAACCCCATGGCTCCCGAAATATGGGGCGTGTAGCGAAGCCTTGAAGTCTAAATTCCTAAGCCCTAAACCCCATAGTTGTGCACTCTGAACTCTGCACCCCCAAACCTCAAGCTTTTAAACCTAAACTCCACACCCTAGACCCTATAGACCCTAAACGTATAGCTCGACCCAAGCTCAAGGCTCTCTGCGAATGTTGCCCAGGCATGTGGACCGGCCATTGGCATGCCTTTTGAGGCACCCAACACTTGCCGGGTTTAGGGTTCAGGGTTTAGGGAAATAACGGTTTTTGGGTTTAAGGTGTTTAAGGTTCAGGGTTTAGCGTTTTATGGTTTAGAGTTGAGGTTTCATGGGGTTGAGAGTGTCAGGTTTTTGGAATTGTTGGAATTGAGGGGGTTTAGGGTTTAGGGTTTGGGGTTTGGGGTTTAGGGTTTGGGTTTAGGGTTTAGGGTTTGGGGTTTGGGGTTTAGGGTTTAGGGTTTGGGGTTTGGGGTTTTTTAGGGCTTCGTTGACAGGATGTGCAAGGCCTCCGGCTTGGGATCTAGGACCCGAGGCTTCAAGTCTCATGTTCCAAGGCTACGTGTCAGAGGCGGTAGGGTTTAGGGTTTAGGGTTTAGGGTTTAGGGTTTAGGGTTTAGGATTTAGGGTTTAGGGTTTAGGATTTAGGATTCAGGGATTAACCCGAAATCCCAAGTCCCTCAAACCTCGGTCAACAAATCCTACAACCGCAAAGCGCTGAGTCCTTCAATCCCGCCAGCCTGGAACCTTTAGGAGCGTCTTCTGAAGGCCAGGTTTAGGGTTTAGGGTTTAGGGTTTAGGGTTTAGGGTTTAGGGTTTCGGGTTTCGGGTTTCGGGTTTACGGTCCAGGGTGGTCCTGAACACACAACCGCCTGCTCCAATCCGGACGCGGCTTCGGGACTTAGGGTTGAGAGTTCACGGGTTTGCGCTTCGGGTTCTGCATCCTCGGCGCAAGCTCTCCGAACTAGCACCTCAATTTGTGTGTGAGTGAGTGGGTTTTGGGTTTTTAGGGTTTGGGTTTAGGTCTTAGGGCTTAGGGCTTGATTCCCTTCACCCCCATTGAAGAAACAACGGGTTCCCTTTCCCGTTCCTGGGTACCGAGTACCGACTGGTCTTGAACCCTAAACCTGAAACTGTAGCACCTCAAGCCCTGCAAACCCTGTCTCAACCTTGTAAAAAAGTGTATAAGACCCGCCTTACGTGCCCTAGAAGCCTTTAAGGTCTCAAAAGCTCCGAAGCGTAAACAACAGCACCCAAGCTAGAAACCTTGCTGGCTCTAAAACCCGAAACCCTAAGCCCTAAACCGCGTAAACCCTAAGCCTTGAACCCTAAACCCTAAACCCTAAACCCTAAACCCTAAACCCTAACCCTAAACCCTAAACCCTAAACCCTAAACCCTTGCTGTGCGAAAGGACAATCCCGGAAGCGCAATGGCCGGTGGAGTCGCTGCCTTGAGGTTGATCCTTTTAGGCTTGAGAGGTTTAGGGTTTAGGGTTTAGGGTTTAGGGTTTAGGATTTGGGGGTACTTGGAGTTTCATGGTACTTATATGACTCTGTTACAATTGTACTTACAACCCACTTGTAAGCCCCTTAAGTGCCCCAGCAATTGGTTATAAGTACAGTCGAAATTGGGTTAATACGTACCATGAACCTCAAGTATAGGGTTTAGGGGTTCGGGTTGAGTGGTTTTTCGGTTTTCTAGGTTTGGGCTTATAGGTCTCAGGTTTGTCGACTTTTGTGCTGCAGCGTCTTTGTAGGTTTACGGTTTAGGGTCTAGGGTCTAGAGTTTAGGGTTTCGGGTTTAGGGTCTAGGGTTTAGGGTTTAGGGTTTAATCTTTAGGTTTTAAGGTTTGGGGGCCGCTACCTGCAATCCCACATAACCTTTACAAGAGCAGGGCTTGAAACCCGAAACCTCAATGACTGAACAAACTCCCCTAAACCCTAAACCCTAAACCCTAAACCCTAAACCCTAAACCCTGAACCCTGAACCCTAAACCCTAAACCCTAAACCCTACACCTCCGAAGCGAGAGCCTAAGTTGGAGAGCCAGGATGGTTCACTTGGAGATTGGAAATCCTAAGTAGCTTCGGGCGTTGAGGGTCTAGAAGCCCTCGACTCTAAACCCTAATGAATGGGGCTGGCATCTCAGCAGTGTTTTGGGATACTGAGGCTTGACTGTTGCTACCTGAAGACTTGAGCGGGTTTAAGGTTTAGGGTTTGATGGCTTAGGGTGTAGGGTTTAAGGAGGTTTTCCTCTCAAAAAAAAAATACTGCGGTGCTACGTACTGGTTGCTGTCCCAGAGGCACTACACACGAGCCTTTGGGAGTTAAAGTGGGTGCGACGTAGGCAAACAATGAGAAGCTCCGAGCGAGCCTTTTATGACATAGAAAACACTAGGGGGGTTAGGGGTTTAGGGCTTAGGGTTTAGGGTTTGGGGTTCATGGTGTAGAGTTCTATGCATAGTAGACTAGAAGATCATGCCAGAGCGGTTTAGGGTTTTGGGGGTGTCTCCTTCTCTCTCAGGCATCTCTACCGATGGGCCGAGGTCCTGCTGCAGGCGTTCTTCGACATGCTAAACCCTAGACCCTGTAGACCCTAAACCCTAAACCCTAGACCCTAAACCCTAAACCCTAAACCCTAAACCCTAAACCCTAAACCCTAAACCCTAAACCCTAAACCCTAAACCCTAAACCCTAAACCCTAAACCCTAAACCCTAAACCCTAGCCTCGCCCCCACCCCTCTCCCATAACCTGCACAAGGGTTGTAGCTAGGTTTGTGGAACCCTCTTTGCTTTGAGGTCTGTGGTTTAAGTAAGGAATCTGCATAAGGCTTAGGGTTTAGGGTTTAGGTGGGGTCTGGGGTACCCTGAACATGATTTAAGGTGTAATCCCTCAGGAAGCAGTTGGGCTCTCTGTGTTTGAGGGTGAGGGTGGTCCTCAGAAGCAGACTGCACGAGCTTCCCCCAGGTGCTCTTGTGCGTTTACGGTTTCGGATGGTCTAGGGGTTTATGGCTTAGGGTTTAAGGTTCTAAATTCGTTGCCAAGCCCTACACTCGACAACGTTATATCATCTTGTCAACCCAAGACTTACGGCTTGCGCTGCCCCGACCCTTAAACCCTACGCCTATAAACCCTGAATCCTAAACCTTCCAACCTTCCTCCCCAATAGGCGCGACCGGCCCGGCTGTCATGAACGGACAGCCTCGGATGCAGCAGCCCAACTCCGGCGCGCCACCTCCTAAACCCTAAACCCTAAACCCTAAAGCCTGGGTTCAGGTTCAGGCTCTATAGGGTTTGGGGGAGTTTAGGGTTCAGGGTTGAGGGTTGAGAGGGTCTAGGGTTTTAGGCCGCAGGGTTGAGTTGAGGTTCAGAGTTTAGGGCTCCGGGCAATGCAGGGGCCAGGGTTCCCTTGCTGTGGGAGATGAGGGTACGCTTTTAGCTTGTTTGGAATGCAGGTGTAAAGCATGATGTCTTTTTGGGCAATCCACTTACATTGTCTTAGAGTCTGTCGGCCAGTCTTTTGACGGGATCTTCTTCTTGCGATTATGAGCGGTGCCTGTAGGTTTCGAGCAACCCCCCCCCCCCCCCCAAGGGCGGTTGAGGGTTTTCAGGGTCTTCCTGGCACCGGACATTCGCACTTCTGGATTCTGAACTGCAGCCCCATTCTCTGTTTCGAGGATCCTATGCTGCAAAAAGGTACCAAGAAGAAGTCTTTAGGGTGGAGTCGTTTCGGGTTTAGGGTTTAGGGTTTAGGGTTTAGGGTTTAGGGTTTGGGGTTTAGGGTTTAGGGTTTTGGGTTTAGGATTCCATGCGACACAGGCACCAGCGCCGTCACCATCAGCACCCTCCCTGGTCAGACGCTGCCGCCTTCGGGATGCACCGCTGCTGGGACCTCGGTATTGCCCAGAGAGCCCAACACCCTTGAATTAAGGAAGATACTTTAAATCATAATAAGAATCCCTCTACAATTTAAGGTATAGTCCTTACTTAAGGGAATCCCTCTACAATTTAAGGTATATTCCTTAATTAAGGTGTATTGGTCTCTCTGGGTGCATGCATGTGGTCAGTTGACCTATACGCCCCTGCAACACTACGACCCCCTTGTGGTCTTCTTACCCCCCTGAAGTGACCATTAGTATAGGTTCGAGAACCGACAGGGGTGATCGAGTGTTGCTGTTGTTGGAGTGCGCACTGGGTGCACCCAGTTCCCCTAGCACTCATCCTAAATCCTAAACCCTAAAACCTAAACCCTAAACCCTAAACACCAAACCCTAAGCATGTCTCATACCTCAGAGCTTTGAAGCCCTTCAAACCCGATGAGTCCATGAACCTATACGATATACGCTTGGGATTCAATAAAGTTCTTATGTAGCCTTAGGGCCCAGTCACAAACTACAGAGCTACCATGGAGCCTCATGTGCAGGGAAACCCTGAATCCCCTCCAACTCTTTCCAGAGGCTGTGTGGAAGACAGTTATTCAGTGGCAACGTGGTCAGTTCTCCCAACTACGGTCCCCTTGTGGACCGCTTTTGGATCACCCCCTGGTCTATGCCTATGTAGCGTTTGGGGCTTTGGGGGCTCTAAGGATGAGCCTCAGAAATAGCAGCGATGGGTGGGGGGGCGGGAGGGGAGCAGAGGGGAGGGGGAGAGGGCAGAGGGGGGAGAGGGGACTAATGTCTCAATTGTTGCCTAGTTTTTGTCCGGCCTAAACTAAAGGCATACTGCAATCGCTAGAGGCTGGATCGACAACACTCGTAGTGCCCCTCCTGAGCCAGATCTTACAATCCCGGCTAATGGATCTCCGCTAGTAACACCCCCCCCCCCCCCAAGATATTCAGAGTTATTGTGATGTAGCAAAGTTCGGTCCTACTTTACTAACATTTGACATTGTTTGACACATGTTATTTCCTCCCCCTTTTCCCGGCCCCCCAATCACCGGCAAGAGTCCACTGCCCAACTTGTGGGCTGCGCCACCCAGGCTGCAAGACCAGCGACAATGCAGCCAGCGCCGATGTTGGGACATGTTCCCATTGCGGCATACAACCCTATGGTTCAGCAGCCGAGGTCTCAGAGCCAGCGCTGCTGCCGAGTGGGATCGCACGTACGTAGTACTAAGCTCGGATTCAGCCAACAAACACAGCATGCGAAAGATCAAGAGAAAGATCAAGTAAGACATCCAAGAACAGCACCAGCATTTACGTACTGCCTTGAACCTTCCTTCCCTGATAGGAGCTGGTTTGACTGATTGGGGAAGTATTCAAGTTATATAAGCATGTTATCAAGGGTTTAGGGGTTTGGGGGTTTTGGGAGCTTAGGGGAGTGCCTCAGATCCTTTGGGCTTAGGATTCCCGTGTCCTCTAGCCTTCTCCACGAGGCTTCCCGCGTCTCGCGAGTCCCCCCGGTCAGCGAGGTCCTTCGAGCAGCAAGCCCACCAACAAGTTCAGATGCTACTGACAAAGGCCTGCCCTTGGCCATGTTGTTAAGCCCTGTGCCTCCATGATTTCTCAGCTCCTGAGCCTGGAGTGTTTTCCCTAAACCCTAAACCCTACCTAAACCCTAAACCCTAAACCCTAAACCCTAAGCCAAAGAATCTGAACCCCTACACCCCCAGAGGCCCTAACGTCTACAACCCTACAACCCAAGACCCTGGAGCTCTGAAGAGGAACATCTGTAAAGCTAAACAAGGCGCAGAGCTGCGGTTTAGGGGTTCGGCTAGGGTTGAGGGTTGAGGGTTGAGGGTTGAGGGTTTAGGGTTTAGGGTTTAGGGTTTAGGGTTAAGGGTTTAGGGTTTAGGGTTTAGGGTGTAGGGCTTAGCATAGGGCTTAGTTGAACATGGGTGTGTGTTCAGGCACACCTAAGCGACAGGTGATGTGAAAAGTTCGTCCAAAGCGTCAAGCCCTGGCTTAAACTTTCTTTAATGGTGTGGAATCGAAAGCTTTAGCCCTGAAGGTTCGCCCGAACCTCCCCCAATTAGACGTTCAAGCCTATAAGAAAATCTCCAGAAGGTTCCTAAACCCTAAACCCCAAACCCGAAAACCCCAAACCCTAGAACCCCAAACCCTAAAACGCCTAAACCCTAAACCCCAAGCCCTAAGCCCTGAAACCCCAAACGCTAAAACCCTAATCCCTCAACCCTTCCGGAAAGAGCTTTAGGGTCAGTGGAAAGGGGGGGGGGGGGGTTGGTCCTAAACCCCAGACCCTAAACCCTAACCCTAAACCCCAAACCCCAAACCCCAAACCCTAAACCCTAAACCCTAAACCCTAGGGGGGGGGGGGGGGGGGGGGGGGGGGGGGGGCGGGTGGTTCCGAAGGCAGCGGCGATGAAGCCCGAGGCTCCTCCCTTGGCTCTGACAGGGTTTAGGGTTTAGGGCTTAGGGCTTAGGGTTTCGGGTTTGGGGCGTAGGGCTTAGGGTTTGGGGTTTGGGGCTTAGGGCTTAGGGTTTAGGGTCGGGTTTAGGGCTTAGGGGCTATAGGGCTTCGGGCTTAGGGCTTGGGGTTGAAGTGATGAGGGATTAGGGTTTAGGGCGTATAGGGTTTTAAGTGGTTGCGGTTTAGGATGTAGTTGTGGCTGTTTGGGTTTGTTCTTCCTTGGAAGGCACACACACACACATCCGGGATAACTTGTCTTCGTTTTTGGGTCGGTGTACCTTTCTGTAAGAGTACGTAGGCTACTCAAAGTGAAGTCTTAAACTGTGCACTTACACCAACCCCAAACCTCAAACCCCAAACCCTCAACCCCAAACCCCAAACCCCAACCCCCACTCTGCGCCGGCAGTTATAAACCCTGAAGTCCAAACCGAGGCCGCCCCGGTGACCACCTGTAGCTCGGTCCAGCTCGTGTCCAGCCGGCTGGTGTTGTCGGGCGCCTTGTCGCGGGGTCTGCGGTTTAGGGTTTAAGGATTAAGGTTTAGGGTTTAGGGTTTTGGGTTTTGGTTTAGGGTTTAGGGTTAGGGTTTAGGTTTGTTGTTAGGTTTAAGTTGATATCACCCCCCCCTCTGGCATGCTTAAGCTTGAAACATGCGGGGGTTTACGAACACAGGGGACCCCTAAAAAAGACCCCCCAGATGGTAGGATCCCCTTGAGACTCAGGACCCTAATAAGGTACCCCTAAGATCGTAAACCCCCCCATGTGAATCCTTTGATGCAGGGTCCGAATCCTGTGGAGTCCTTGGCCTGTTTGGCGCGGTTTGACTCACTCTTGGCGATAAGTAGAGTAAAACCCAACACATGGGAGTCTTGGCTTAGCTTGCTGTGTCTGCCGGTTGCACATGACCGCCATCCCAAAGGGCCCAATACCCCTCAACCAAGCAGTTTGCCTACCATGCAATATGCCTTAAATCATGGAGGGGTCGTGAATCGAGGGGTACTGGGCTCTTTCTGATGAAAGGTACAGTATATTCCTTAATTCAGGGGTATTGGGGTGTTTGGGATTGAGCAACCGTACCCCCTAAACCTTAAACACTAAACCCTAAACCCGAAACCCGAAACCCTAAACCCTAAACCCTAAACCCTAAACTGCGATCATCGGATGCAGTGGATGGTTCAAGCCTCCTTCGGTGCCAGGCCAACTGCGACGGGACGCAGTGGCACCTTGGATCGAACGGGGCCTGCCTTCTTCATTGCAGCGTGGTGCGGGTTTAGGGTTAGGGTTTAGGGTTTAGGGTTTAGGGTTTAGGGTTTAGGGTTTAGGGTTCAGGAGTCTGGCATGCCTGGTCACCTGGTCAGATCACAAAACACGGCTGCGCAACCATGTTGCTGAAGAGGGACCATTCCACCCAATACAACTTCATGTTCAAGCATGCTTGTTCGGCGTGCTCCTAAATCGGCATGGCCTTTCTCGCTGTCAGTGTATATGTTGTATTTGTATTTGCTTCTTTCTTCCTTTGACTACATGTGTTTTCTTGATGTACACAGGTATACGGGTTGCCAGAAAAGCCGGTGTATTTGCTCATTGCATGAACATGCCATCGACCATCCCTGGGACTAAAAACCACACTGCTCAGGCTCCTACGTCCCACCGCCAGTCTTTACGACTTCGGGCTCCTACGTCCCACCACCGGTCTTCTCGGCTTCGGGTTCCTACGTCCCGCCGCCGGCCATGGCCTCCACGACAGGCGGAAGGGGTTCGGGGTTTAGGGTAGACTTCCTAAGAGCCCAATACCGCTTAGTTAAGGAACATACCCCGTGAACTATATGTATAGGGATCGTGAATATGATGTAAGGTAGATTCCTTAGTTCCGGGTAGTGGGCTCTTTGGGTATAGCCCGAAAACCGAGATGCGAGATTTGGGATTGCCAGGCCTGGGGAGACGATGTTTGGTTTGCAATGCAATCTTAGGGTCTACAAGAAGTGCGCGTGAAAAAAGAAACCCACAACAGCTTGTCGTCCTTAGGGTCAGCTGTAGGGATCTTACAGGGTGTGCTAGGGAGGGCTTGCTTCAGCTTGTGGGTGTGGGAAGCTGGTCAACCAATGCAGCGACGGCTTAGCCGGTCATGAAGCTCGTGTGCAGCACGCAAGATTCCGCAAACCTGCCATCAGCCTGTACGTTTCCCACACACCTTGAAGACGAACAAAAACCCTGAACCCTATACACCCCACAGGCCCTATGACCCCGTAAGCCCGAGCCAACATTCATAATGCGAAGTAGGATCCCGCAAAGATATTTTACATACGTACATGCACACCTACATGCATACATACATACATACATACATACATAGATACATACATACATCATACATACATACATACATACATACATACATACATACATACATACATACATACATACATACATACATAATACCTTAAGAACCTAAAACCTACTTTGTTGTAAGTTCTTCTTGAAGGCTCTTGGGTTCCGCCCCCTCGACCGCTGGCGTGCGGGCCCCATGAACTCGGAGACTCGGGAGAGCAACCCTAAATCGTAGGGTTCTTGAGGGCAGGGGGGGGTTCAAGGGGGGGCAGGCGCCTAGGGAACCTTAAGGAAGCTTGGAACCCCCCCCCCTCCCTTAAGAACCCTGGAATGAAACCCTATACCCGAAACCCTAACACCCTGAACTCAGTAGGGTGTAGGGCTTGAGAGCTTTGGGGTCTTTAGGGCTTGTACATTCTGTTGAGTTCAGCTTTGGGGCTCAGGTTCAGGGGCTTTATGGTTTAGGGTTGAGGGTTTAGAGTTTCGTATTCCCACAGGTTCGGTACCGTCCCAGGCTTGTGGGCCTTCATGTTGGGCGAAGGGCCCCTCATGCGCCATGCCTTTCGCCTAGAGATCAAACTCGGAGGTTGAGGTTCTAGCATGCACGCGAAACCCCAACCACCCCTAAGCCCAACCCTAAACCCCCTGGGCCCCAAACCCATGCAACTCACAAACCTCACCCCGTTCACCCTGCAAATCAAGATGGCCTGGAACTTCTAAAAAAAACTCTGTCTTTCAGGGTATTTAAACCAAAAAAACCTAAACCCCCAAACCCTAAACCCCAAACCCTAAACCCCAAACTCCCTAAACCCTAAAGCCTAAACCCCCCAACCACTAAACCCTGAACCCCCCAAACCCAAAACCCTAAACTCCCCAAACCCCGTAAACCCTAAACCCTAAACCCCCATGGACCCTGCGAGGCCCCTCACGGCACCTATGAGCCCGCTGCTGCCGGGTATGGGTCCGCCGCTGGGGCAGCCGCTCGGGCAGACAATGGCCCAGACTACAGGCTCGTGGGGGGGTTTTGGGTTTAGGCTACAAGGGATATCAGGGTTGCAGAGGTTCTGAGTGTTATAGTGACACGAATGGGTGGCAAAGCTACGAGGGTTGCAATGGAACTGTGAGGGCTGTGAGGGCTCAATGTTTAGGGTTTAGGGTTCAGGGTTTAGGGTAGGCTTGTTAAGTGCTTCTTATCCGGGGAATATGGCCCCGAAGCCCTCCCTACACCCTGCCTACTACGGTCTACTTCATAGTGCGAGAAATTAGAACCAACTGCATGCCATAATTTACTGTGGTTTGTGATAGCATGCTCTTATACACCAAGTCCACCATATATATATATATATAACATCTGCAACCTACTTTTTACTCTATAAGTGAACAACTAGTATGCCGACAATAGACTCTAATGTACTAGAATGCAGTATATTTCACTGTAAGATGCGATAACATACTATAGTATATTAAATTTTCTATGATATACAAATACAACTATATATATATATATATGTTCGAGTATGTTTGCCGTACTACAATGTACTGCGGTTTCCTAGAAGTAGGAGTTGAAAGGGTTGGGAGGTTTGTTGAGGATGTTCGGCGTTGGGGGTCAGGCCGAAGGCTCCGCAGGACCCGAGCACCCCCTCTTCCTGGAGCTTTTCCCGGTTTAAGGGCCTTTTCTACACCCTCACTAAACAATTAAAGTCTGAGAAGTCTCTTGTGCATGATCTAGGACTTTTGGGCTTATAGGGTTTTTTGCAACCCCACACCAACATCGAAGCCGAAGGCGCCCCTCTGCCTGGAGGCAGCACCGTTCCGCCGATGTCGCTTGGGCACTGCGGTGCGCCAGGCCTCCGCTTCAGAGCTGGCTCCTCTTGGGACTTCGGGAGTAGGGTTCCAAACTTTGATTCCAAACCCTAGCTAAACCCTAAACCCTAAACCCTTATGCTCGACGCCTCAAAGTCCTTTGAGGTTTGAGGTTTGAGGTTTGAGGTTTGAGGTTTGAGGTTTGGGGCTGGGGTTTTGCTGGTTTACGCTGGATTGGCCGGGCAGTTTGTCCCCCAAGCGCTGGAGACCCTGGCGACCTTCACTTTCGGCAACTGACAATGTACTAGGATGCCCAGTACCACCCTGTTTCCCGTTTTGGGGGGTGTAGGTTCCCTTATAAACCCCTTTAAGCAAAAAAGGGCACCCTTTTTAATCCTAGGATACTGGGCAACCTAGTGTACATGTCTCATAGCAGTCCCTAAGGATCCATGTACCTATGTAGTATATACTTGGGCCCGAAAGCTACTGAGAAAGGAACCCCCTTAAAGCCCAAGCAAGCACATAGATCGTTAGGGAAAGAGACGATGCCACAGATCTCTGAACGCTGGAAATTCGGCCTGAGGAGCTGAGCAAATTTCATGCAAGGTTTAAGCTTATGATTTCGTGATTTCATGAAACCCTGAATGAACCGAGATCGCCCCCCTCCCCCCCCCCAACCCGCCCTGCGCGGAGGCAGTGCTACCGTTCCGGCGATGTCACTTGGACAGTGCGGTGGGCAAGGCATCAGCGTCAACGCTGGCTCCTCTTAGGGTTCTAAGTAAGCCTAACCCAGAAGCCCTCTGTGGTTTAGGACGCCTTCACTTTCGGCAACTTGTATTGCATGGTACTTGATCAAAATGCCGGTTACCCAAATGACCATAGTTCCTCTAAATACTTGATCAGAAGGACGTTAAGATCAACCCGCACCCCCCACCCCCCGCCCCCCCCCCGCCCCCCCCCCTCCCGTGGAGGCAGTGCCATTCCCATTCCGCCGATGTCACTTGGACAGTGCGGTGGGCAAGGCATCAGCTCTAGGGCTCCTGGGCCTGGGATTTCGAGACTTAGCATCAAAGCACAGCCCAGAAGCCCTTTGTGGTTTAGGAGTTTAATATTGGGGCTGAGGCGTGCAGGCTTACACTGCGTTAGGGGCCAATGTTATGTTGCCCCAACCCAGCTAAAGTAGAATGCAACTTCCACACTGCTTCCTGGCCCTAAACCCTACAGTAAACCCTGAGCCCTACACCCTAAGCCCTCAACGTCCCGAAACCCTGAAACCCCTATAGCCCCAAGAGCAGCCTTGCGGTGGAAGCCCGCCAGTTCTCATGAGTTTAGGAGTGAGGGTTCCCAAAGAGCCCAATCCCGGGTTCAGGGTTTAGGGTTTAGGGTTACACCTGAATTAAGGACTGCTTCTTGAATCATAATCACCCCAAAGCCTATGGTGAACTCTACCAAAGCCTGAACATTCTTAAGTGGTTGAAGGGTCTTTGGGTGAAGGATCGTTGGGACCCTTCACGACAGATGTCCTCTTGGGCTAGCTCAGGGCTGTTCCATTTCATTCGTTGGCTCTCGCTCTTGAGTTTCCCGAAGCTTTGAGGGTTGTCCGGACTCTTTTTGCTTGGGTGAAGCAACCCCGTCGTGCCGGTGGACTTTGGACCACCCCCCCCCCCACCCCCCCCACCCCCCCCCCCCCCCCACCACCCCCCCCCCCCCACCCCCCCCACCCCCCCCCCCCCCCCCCCCCCCCCCCCCCCCCCCCACCCCCCCCCACCCCCCCCCCCCCACCCCCCCCCCCCCCCCGCCCACCCCAAAAAGATATATATATATATACATAGATATACATAATATATATATATATATACATATACAAACGAGAATGCAATTGGAAGTCTAGGAAAAGGTCCTCATATCTGTGGCTTCCTTCTAACAATGCACAAGGGGCCATGAAAGCCCACAGCTATCCTCATTGCGGGGCTCCGATGGCTTGTGGAATTCGTAAGGTCTAGGAGTAGGTTCACCTTGCTGGTGTTGGCGAGCGTAGGCCGGCGGTGTTCCTTATAAGTGTTGGTGAGCGTATATATATATATATGTATATATGTATATATATATATATATATATGAGAGAGGGACCTTTATGTACTATGTTGCCTTGTTGTTTTTTCTATATACATTTTTTTAAATTAATTTTTATTCTTTATATTATTTACATCGGAAATACATCGGAACCGATGTAAATAATGTAAATGTGCTATTTACATTATTTATATCGGAAATACATCGGAACCGATGTAATAATGTAAATGAGCCATTTACATTATTTAGATTATGTATATTATTTATATCGGTTTTCGGGAGGGTCCGGGTCTGGGACCCGCGCCCATTTACATTATTTACATCGGAAATACATCAGAACCGATATAAATCATGTAAATGGGGGGGTCCCAGACCCGGATCTCTCCTCTAAAACTGATAAAAATAATATAAATAATGTAAATAATGTAAATGGGCGATTTACATTATTTACGTCGGAAATACATATTTCCGATGTAAATAATGTAAATAGGCCATTTACATTATTTAAGTTATTTATATTATTTATATCGGCTTTTGGGAGGGTCCGGGTCTGGGACCCGTGTCCATTTACATTATTTACATCGGAAATACATCGGAACCGATATAAATAATGTAAATGGACACGGGTCCCAGACCCAGACCCTCCCAAAAGCCGATATAAACAATATAAATAATGTAAATAATGTAAATGGGCCATTTACATTATTTACATCGGAAATACATATTTCCGATGTAAATAATGTAAATGGGCCATTTACATTATTTAAGTTATTTATATTATTTATATCGGCTTTTGGGAGGGTCCGGGTCTGGGACCCGTGTCCATTTACATTATTTACATCGGAAATACATCGGAACCGATATAAATAATGTAAATGGGGGGGTCCCAGACCCAGACCCTCCCAAAAGCCGATATAAATAATATAAATAATGTAAATAATGTAAATGGGCGATTTACATTATTTACATCAGAAATACATATTTCCGATGTAAATAATGTAAATAGGCCATTTACATTATTTAAGTTATTTATATTATTTATATCGGCTTTTGGGAGGGTCCGGGTCTGGGACCCGCGCCCATTTACATTATTTACATCGGAAATACATCAGAACCGATATAAATCATGTAAATGGGGGGGTCCCAGACCCGGATCTCTCCTCTAAAACTGATAAAAATAATATAAATAATGTAAATAATGTAAATGGGCGATTTACATTATTTACGTCGGAAATACATATTTCCGATGTAAATAATGTAAATAGGCCATTTACATTATTTAAGTTATTTATATTATTTATATCGGCTTTTGGGAGGGTCCGGGTCTGGGACCCGTGTCCATTTACATTATTTACATCGGAAATACATCGGAACCGATATAAATAATGTAAATGGACACGGGTCCCAGACCCAGACCCTCCCAAAAGCCGATATAAATAATATAAATAATGTAAATAATGTAAATAATGTAAATGGGCCATTTACATTATTTAAGTTATTTATAAAATTTATATCGGCTTTTGGGAGGGTCCGGGTCTGGGACCCGTGTCCATTTACATAATTTACATCGGAAATACATCGGAACCGATATAAATAATGTAAATGGGGGGGTCCCAGACCCAGACCCTCCCAAAAGCCGATATAAATAATATAAATAATGTAAATAATGTAAATGGGCGATTTACATTATTTACATCGGAAATACATATTTCCGATGTAAAAATAATGTAAATGGGCCAATTACATTATTTACATTATTTATATTATTTATATTGGTTTTTGTGAGGGTCCGGGTCTGGGACCCGTGCCCATTTACATTATTTACATGGGAAATACATATTTCCGATGTAAATAATGTAAATGGGCCATTTACATTATTTACATTATTTATATTATTTATAGTGGTTTTTGTGAGGGACCGGGTCTGGGACCCGTGCCCATTTACATTATTTACATCGGAAATACATATTTCCGATGTAAATAATGTAAATGGGCCATTTACATTATTTACATTATTTACATTATTTATATTATTTATATTGGTTTTTGTGAGGGTCCGGGTCTGGGACCCGTGCCCATTTACATTATTTACATCGGAAATACATATTTCCGATGTAAATAATGTAAATGGGCCATTTATATTATTTACATTATTTATATTATTTATATTGGTTTTTGTGAGGATCCGGGTCTGGGACCCGTGCCCATTTAGATTATTTACATCGGAAATACATTGGAACCGATGTAAATAATGTAAATGGGCCATTTACATGAAACACATCGGAAATATATCAGAAACCGATATAAATAATGTAAATGGGTCATTTACATTATTTAGGTTCGGGTCTGGGACCCCTACCCGTTAACATTATGTACATAAAAAAAACATAAAAACCAATCTAAATATTGTAAATGAGCTACTTATATTATTTACATTCTTTTACATTATATTTATATCGGTTTTCAATATAAATAATGTAAATCGACCATTTATATTACTTATATTTTACTTTATTTACATCGTTTTTAAAATGATTTTGAAAAATAGTCGATATAGCAATTCTAAAAGAAAAATGTCATTATTATACTGATAATAATTATTATTTCAAGTCTGTCACTGCATTTATTTCTACATATTTTAAAAACAAATACCTTAAATAAAATAAAGTCTCGCCTCAGGTATGGTTTCTTTTGATTCTCAATATCGAACGCGCGGAGCCTACAGTGAATGCAGTGTTAACTCAACCCGGAGGACTGTTTTCGGTCTCCGGGAAAGCGGGGTACTGTTTTCGGTCCACCGTCTCCCCCCTCTCTTGTTTGTGTATTGTTATCTCGCCAACTCCATACTAAACAGCACAGTAGACATGGTGGTACTGTTATCGGTCCACCGTGTTTGTGCTTAAATTACTACAATAACATGAAACATATCATAAGCAAAAGACCAGGCGTCGATAGCAGCAGATTTTGTCCACACCCTTTCTTGGCAAAATTTGCTGCAATCGACGCCGCCGTGTTTTCAGAAGCAAAACACCAGGCGTTCATAGCAGCAGATTTTGCCCGCACCCTTTCGTGGCAAAATTTGCTGCAATCTACGCCGCCGTGTTTTCAGAGCAAAACACCAAGAGTCGATAGCCGCAGATTTTGCCCACACCCTTTGTGGGCAAAATTTGCCGCAATCGACGCCGCCTCAAATAACAAGAAGAGTGCGCAACATGACGCATTCCATGCTTTGGAATGTTAAGTGCCTTTTGTCTATAGAGCAAAGCATGACACATGTCAGGCCTTGAACTACGTCAGCGTTCCTTCGTGAAGGACGAAGCATGACAGGACACATCTCAGGTCCTGAATATGTCATTGTTGTCTAGTAGAGGGTGACGCATGACAAATGAACTCCGAAAAGATTAACGCAAAGAATTTTACGGCTATTATGGTGTTGTCCACTTGAAAGAACGTTGTGACAAGAATTATCAGGGAGGTTTGAGGGACCACGACTGGTTTCATAGTTCTTGTGGGCCTTAAGGTTATTAGTTCCATTATGTTTTGGTTACTTCATTATTCAGCCTCAGGCTAGATGGCGAAGAGTAAAGAACCAGAAGCCCTGAAAATATTTAGGGTGCGGTTGCCGCTGTAACTTTTCTTGACTTAACGATGACAATGCTTGCTTTTTGTGACTTCAAGTGCAGCATTCATTGAACAGTGGAATGAAGGTTTGAGCTTTGAGAGTACGGTTTTTAGACGGACATGGCTTCGACAATTGCAATCTTTGGATATTGGAGTTCAGACGTTGGCGTTAGCGAGTTCACTTTCCGTCATGCTTTGACTGCATCAAGCCTTTGCTCAAGTTGTACGTCTTTTCTTCGGCATTCTGGCATTGTGTCTCGCAGGCCAGCCTTTGCAGATTGAAGATTGAGCACCTTTAAGGACTTTATTTCTGTCGTTAAATAAAATCAGGCCTCATGGGGAGGAGCAAGAAGAGCAAGTCGGGCAAGGGCAAGAAGCACCAGTCGCCACACACAACGTGGAAGAAGAACGAACGAGCGACGGCTCTCCTCTTAGTTTTTTTTTGTTAAATTTCTTCGCGACTATAGCTCTGCATGTTAAAATCTTGTTTGCTAAGGATCACAAGGAATCCTTCCGCCAGAAGGAGCAGCAAGATAAAGAGAACAAGACCAAGGCCATGTGACTATAGACGTTTCTAAGAGCTGAAGCAGGTTATCTCGAACTGCAATAATTTATTTACATAAAGAGCAATATTACTATGCTAAGGAAATAAAGTTTTGCGCGCTCCATTGAAGGTGAAGTCTATCATGAAGAAAGCCCCGGAGCCCAAGAAGAAGATCCATTTCAAGGAGACGCTGAAGGCTGACGTGAGCGATTAAAATGCTGATTCGTAGTGTACGTTTCTCTAAGGTCATGGTGGTGGACTCCTACAAGCACCAGAAAGAGCTATGGCTGTTCGCTTACTATTTTGAATGTTTAGACATGTTTAGACGTATTGGAATATCGGTATGTTCATCTAAATTTTCACGAGGCACCAGAACGACTGGCGCAATCCGCTTGTCTTGTGCAATACTTGCGGGCTTCGCCAGCATTTCTGGCAGGGCCGCATGGAGGCAGTGGAACAATCGCATCCGTATTGACAATGATGTTTTAAACATTATGTTGCTATCAGGGAGCTCCGGGAAAGTGCCATTTTGCCCAGTGGAAGTCGCCAGCTCATTTCTTTTTAATCTGTTAATGTTTTAAGTACTTCCCCCCGCAATGAGGTTCGTCTGCGGACAATGCCTTCTCCAGCCTGCGTCGAACCTTCACTCGACGCAGCGCATCCTAATCAGCTGTCCTAGTCATACGAAGATTTTTATCACGCTAGTGCAATCTAAGGTCGAGTAACCTGAGACGCTGATCGCAGAGCAGCAAGGTGAGGCGGCGCGCTTAAAAAAGAGGCAAACCTTGCCTGAGTGCTGCTGGAAATGCAGGTGGTCGTACAGGTCTTGCTTTAGTCTTCGGCTTCTGCCCCTCCAGACCTAGCCACGTCGTTCGCGCGAGCGGCACTTGGGTGCTGACTTGGTCGCATTAACGTTGCTGTTGTTGAAAACAAGAGCTGCCGGGGTTGCCCTAAGCCGCCCAAAACCCTAAGTTCTGAAGGGTAGCTTGAGGGCAGAGCCTAAACCCTAAACCCTAAGCCCTAAGCCCTAAACCCTAAACCTTAAACCCTAAACCCTAAACCCTAAACCATAAACCCTAAACCCTAAACCCTAAACCCTAAACCCTAAACCGTCTTCTACTCCTTGACCTGCAATGTGCATAGTAAAGAAGGGATCCCTTCAAGCCCCCGAGCGCGGGACTGTCCAGGTTTTGGTTTTGGTCATGGACATGTTATATATAAAAATAATCATTTTTTTAAATACAAATATAAAAACTAAGCAAAAAGAACCAGAAAGGTCTCAGGCTCATATATATATATATATATATTGTCCTTTTGGGGATAGCCCTACTTCATAGAAAGAAAGGGTTTACAGGACCAAGCCTTACACCTTGTAGCGGCTCTTGGGTGCAGGGCCCAGTAGCCTTGATTTTACTAGGTACCTTGATTATTCCTTGTTTAAGGGTTGGGTTCTCTGCTACTGCAGACTCCCGCAACAAGAAGCAGGCATCTTTCTCATAAACACCAAACCCAAAACCCTTAAACCCTAAACCCTAAACCCTAAACCCTAGTTCCAGAATCCTTTGGAGGCCCTGGTCATCCTTCACCCTTCGCGACGCCTTTTCCAGGAGGCGCACATCCAGGTAGGACCTTGGGATGTTTGACCTTATTATTGAGCTTAGGAGGATCTCATTAATTCGCAATGCTGTATGTGCCAAGGGCTTCTATCAGAGCCTGGTTCGCAGGCCCAAGGGGAAGTCGTGCATGCCGCCGAAGAACTCAAGGAACTTGATGGTGCAGGATTGCGTAGCCCGAAACCCTAAACCCTAAACCCAAAACCCTAAACCCTAAACCCTAAACCCTAACCCTAAACCCTAAACCCTCAAGGGTTCTGGCCTTTAACCTCTACACTACCTGCAAGACCTCTGTAAGTGATGCTCAAGCAGGCTCCCTGCAGACAGGGGCTGCTCCAACGAGCATCCTGCAGCAAGGGTCGGAGCCTTACGGTAGAAATCCAGCGCTTTAGGGCTTAGGATTGAAGGGTTTTGTGTAGGGTTTTAAGGCTTTTTTAAGGGTTTTGCTCTGGGTTTTTTTGGTTTTTTTTGGGGGTTTTAGGGTTCTTGTTTAGAGTTTAGGGCTTCTGAGGCTGACAGGGCTTTCAAGGGCTTTCCAGGGCTTATCGCACATAGAGGGATTATGGGCTAGTAGCAGGGCTTATTGGGTTTATGGGGCTTAGAGGTTCTTTTTAGGGTTTAGGGTACAGGGCTTAGAGGGTTTAGGGTTTATGTGCCGGGGTCTCACTTGGCTACGGTTTAGCGTACGGTTTCGGGGTTTTGGGGTCTTAAAGGGTCTGAGGGTTTCAGACAGGGTTTAGGACTTTTGGGACTAACTCTTTAGGAGTTGGGGTTCAGGGTTCAGGGACATGAGGGGCTGTGGATTCTTCAGCGCTTTTGCGCCGAGCGATTCGGAAATTGGTCGCTCGGCCGTGCCTTGTGCACTCCTAGAGGTCCTAGAGCCTTCAGTAGCGAACCCAAAGGATCCATGTACCTGTATGGTATATACTTGGGCCCTAAAGCTACCATGCAGGAACCCCTTTAAGGCCCAAGTATATACTATATAGGTACATGGATCCTTTGGGGAACCTCCTTAATCGTAAGTCTGGCTCTCAAAACCCCATAAACCTTGTAAGCCCATACCCCTACAAACCTCATGAGCTTGAGGCCCCGCTCAGCGCGTAGTGTCGAAGGCCCCTACGCCAAGGCTCTAATGCAATGTAAAGGAGTTCATTTGGGATTTAGATGTCAGGAGTTCTGGAATACAGGGGCCTGTTAAACTAGAATGGCCATCATGTGCTCTAATGTACCTCATTCCTCGGTACGGTGCTCATTTCCCCGAAGGATGACACCATGGAGGACCCCCTCCATTCGCATCTTCTCTCCAGCGCCATGAATCAGGTTGGGAGGTCCCGGATATGGTGGAAGTCTACAGGTGCGACATCCAGCAGTTTCAAGGATTCGGGCTTGGCATTTTGTTTAGATTGTAGCCCTTTGTGATTTTGCCTAAGCCACTACACCCAGAAAATCCCAGCGCTGTATGCCCCTGAATGTCCCTACCCTAAACTTTAGAGTAAACTTTTTAGTGCTTTGCCTTGAACCCCGCTCTCGGCACCTTCTGCAGCAACTTGCCGTTTCCGCGAAGTCCGAAAGACGAGGTTTGGAGCTTGGGGTTTACACGTCGATGTAGGGTCTATAGGGTTTAGCTTCACCCGCCCCCAACCCGTCCCCAGAGAGCCATACCCTAAACCCTGAAGCCTCGAGCCTGTGATGTCTTCACAGTGATGCGCCCGGGTTCTTGGGGTTTGTGGGGTCTACCCAACCCAGCTTGGGAAATACCAAACCTTGATGCGTAGTATATCTGATACAGTCAGGCTGAAGATGCAACAAAATGGAACTTCATTGGGGTTCGTTTTAGGGTTCCGTTGAAAGGCCCTAAACCCCCAAACTCTGAACAGTTCGCCGATTCCCGAGATGATTTCTGCAGGGCCCTAAATCCCAATTTAGCGGGTTTCGTTGCAAGGCGACCTCGGTTTCGAGCCTGTGTGGGGGCTGCGGAATGCCGCCTGCCGGGGGCGCCAAGTGCAAAATGGACTTGAGGTCAGCTTTTGAGTTCCCAAAGAGCCCAATACTCCTTAATTCAGGAATACACCGTAAATCATAATATGGATCCCTTTATAGTTTATGGTATAGACCTTAAGTAAGGGGTATTGGGCTCTGTGGGTTCGGGGCTTGGCTTTAGGGTGTATATGGGTTCGTAGGTGTCGAATTGGAACAGGGGTTTTGAGGGTGTGTAGGGTTTTTAGCGGGTTGGCGTATCCAGGACCCAGAGTAGGCCTTTTTCCCTTTTTGGGGTTTAGGTTCCCTTATATCAACCCCCTTAAACCAAAAAGTGTAACTTGCCGCGAAGTCCGAACTCCGATGTTTTCGATGCTTGAGGTCCAGGCTCGGCTTAGAGTTTAGGGTTTAGGGTCCAGGGTCTCGGGGTACAAGGAGGGGCCCCCTTACTATACTAACTATAGTTAAGGGATTTATAACCTAATTTAGGATCCTTATAACCTAATTTAGGGTCCTTATAACTCTACTTATAACTAGGGTGGGGGCCCTCCTTGTAGAGGGTTTTCAGGCTAGATATCAAGAGGCTCCCCTTGTCCTGGCTCCTGGGTTCCTAATTTGTTCTGCTCAATGAGGCATTCATTCCGCAAGTCCTTCACCCCCAGTGCCTAAATCCTAAAACACAAAGCCCCAAGCCCCAACCCCCCCACCCAAGGTAGTCGGCCTTACTGGGCTCTCATACCTGATGTTGATGCAGAACATTTTGCAGAAGTTCTTTACGTCTCCCCGCAACCTTGTACCATGGAACCTTACGATACTTTATGAAACCTTCCATCGACTTGTAAGACAAAAGTGAGCGTTATTGTTGTAGCCTTATAAAGCTTTGCATGCCGCTGAAACCTCGCCCTAAGCCCTAAACCCTAAACCCTAAACCCTAAACCCTAAACCCTAAACCCTAAACCCTAAACCGTTTTTGATGGGCCTCGAAATCCACCAGATCCAGGTGCCCGGCCTGGAGGGCAACCCGTGGAACTTCCGAGGCCTGCAAGTGCCACAGGCAGGGGGCCCACTGAATTGGGCTTCAGGGTATAGGGTTTAGGGTTTAGGGTTTAGGGTTTAGGGCTTCAGGGTTTAGGGTTTAGGCTTTGGGGGTTGGGAATGGTTTTTTTGGGGGGCAGTTTTGGGGTTTAGCGGGCTGGGGCTTAGGGGGGCGGATGAAGCCTACCGAGGCAGCAATTGTAGTTCTTCGATTGTTTTGTTAGGGGGGGGGGGGACGGGGGAGGGGGGCGAGGTTCACCTACTGTTCTACGTATCACCATATCTCAACTGATGGCACGAAAGCTCCCCCCTGAAGCAGGTACGCGCGGGGGTCTGGCTGACGGTGATGGCGTGTTGGGTTTTCGCTGCCACCGGCACCTAGAGGTACAGCCTGGACCATGCAGGCTTAGAGCGTAGAATGGTGTGGGGTGTCAAGAACTAAACCCCTACCTATCAAGCGCGCTGATACTGCGACCCCATCCTGTGCTATTACCCTGTAACAACGTTCAGGCGACGACTCCTCAAGTCACGATCCGACTAAGTCCGACTATACCAATACCGCGATATACTACAATATGCTGCTGTATACTTTGATAATTTAGACCATCGTTTACGAGCACTATAGTGTGGGCCAAGATGGTTGCGCTCAGTTGCCCATGCCGACGCTACAAGCTCCCGTAATGCCGGGCTCGGACCTCAGCTTTCAGAAAAGGAAGCTCTTCTTCAGGAATAGTAAGGGGGCCTTAATAATTAGAATAGGGCTTTGGGGTGTCATTATAGTATACTACTATCGGGACCCTAAGGGAATACTGTGCATCATTATCCCAACCTCTATATTACACAAGTGTCCCGGGCCGGCAGGCCTTTGTCGCAGCCCTCGTGGGCTGACTGTGAGGAGTAGGGCTTTGCGGTTCTAGGCACCCTAAGCCCTAAGCCCTAAACCCTAAACCCTAAACCCTAAACCCTAAACCCTAAACCCTAAACCCTATTCGGCTTATAGGTTTGCTTATGTCGACTGAGGGTTTGGGACCCTTTGGTTTCGGACCTTGGGAGGTGCTGGGGCTTGCCCGCCCTGAAACCTTGAAACCTTAAGTAAGCTCCCCAGAAAGCCCAACATCCCTTAAAGAAAGAGTTTACCTGAAGTCATTCTGAAGGATCCCTACATATCATGTATAAGGTATATTCATTATGTACTTAATGAATGAATTCTTCAAGAGGCATACTGGCCTCTCTGAGAGTCTGAAACCCCAAAACCGAAGCCTCAAGACCCGCCTAGGCCCCGGCTTGGGTCTGCCGGTGCGACCCGATGCTACGCAGCGGATAGACATGCCACCGTGGGGCACCCGACAGGCCTAGACCTGGCTTAACCTAGGTGGGTACATCATACTGTGTAGAACTGCTCATTTGCAGTCGTCGCATATGAAAGCAACCCCAAGTTGATCCATTCTGTCTTGGGGTTTAGGGTTTGGGGTTTAGGGTTTAGGGTTCAGGGTAGAGGCTTTCGGGCTCTTGTGGCAAGCAGGTCCGGGAGGATGGAAGATGGATGCGCGGTATCCAGAGCAGAAGTGCGCGCTCGGGCTGTGCAAGACCTCTCCTCCTCAAGGCCAAAACAGGGCGACAGCTGCGCATGTGAAGAACGACCCGCAAGCCCAAGGCCCTAAACCCTAACCCGAAGGATCCATGTGGCCCTAAAGCTACTATACAGGAACCCCTTTAAGGCCCAAGTATATACTATATAGGTACATGGATCCTTTGGGTAAACCTCAAAAGCATGGTCGGTGCCTTCTGGCAGAGAGGCACTGAGTTTGAACTCCCAGCCGCAGATAGGGGATCATGGCTAACAATCGACCATCCTGGGACCCCAAAACCTAAAACCTAAACCCCGCCGTTATGAACTTTGGTTTCGCCCTGCTTCCTGTGCACCCTTCGACCCTAAAGCCTAAGCTGTTAGCATAAACTCTAGTCCCTAAACCCTAAACCCTAGCCCGAAACCCTAAACCCGAAACCCTAAACCCCAAACCCTAAACCCTAAACCCTAAACCCTAGACAAGTTTAGATCCCCAAACCGAGGCCCGGTGCTTTCCCTGCACCCTTCGGCTCCCCGGGTTTGGCTGCTGGAGGAGGGCTTCGGGTTTAGGGTTTAGGGTTTAGGGTTTTAGGGTTTTAGGGTTTTAGGGTTTTAGGGTTTTAGGGTTTTAGGTTTTAGGGTTTTAGGGTTTTAGGGTTTTAGGGTTTCAGGGTTTTAGGGTTTTAGGGTTTTAGGGTTTTAGGGTTTTAGGGTTTTGGGGTTTTGGGGTTCACGGTTTAGGGCTTGAGGGCTTTAGGGTTTGCGACTTCAGGGTTGTTCAAGGTGTAGTGTTTGTTTAGGCTGCAGGGTTTTGGGTTCAGGGTGCTGGGTTTGGGGCTGTAGGGTTCAGGGTTTAGGGTTTTAGGGTTTAGGGTGTAGGGTTCCGGGCTTAGGGTTCAGGGATCAAGGATTTCGGGTTTCATTGCGGTTTTTCGGGCTTAGGGTTCAGGGATAAGACCTTTTTGAATTTAGAGTTTAGGGCTCAGGGCTCAGAGTGCAGCGTTTAGGACTTTGGGCTTTGGGCCTTCTCGGGTCCAGGGTTTAGTGTTTATGGTTGGGGTTCATGTTTTGGGATCAGGGGTTTGTTCAGGTTGTACGGCCCTCAACCCTCAACCCTAAACCCTAAACCCTAAACCCTTTGGGCGTATTGCCTCAACCGCATGTGGAAGTTGGAAGCAGCGCTATTTGGCATTTTCTATCTTCAGTAAAATATTTTAAAAAGGGCAAACAAAAGGCAACAACAAAAGTATCCTGAAAAGGTAAAACAAAGGTACAGGGCCGCCCTCACCTTTTTTGAATTTGTAATACCTTCTTGTCTACCTTTTTTTGCCTTTGTTTTACATTTGTTTACCTTGTTGTTACACGCTTGTTGCCTTGCTTTTCCATCGTTCTTGCCCCTTTCCAGGCAAAAGCCTGGGTTCCCACCAGGCAGATACCGGCTGGCCAAACATAAAAACAAGGTGACCGCAAAAGGTACAGAACAAAAGTGAGGGCGGTCTGGTACTTTGTCTTTACCTTTTTCAGGATACCGTTTTGCTACGTGTTTGTGTTACCTGTTTTGCCTTTTATTTATTCTGGGTTTATATACCAATATCGGATCACAGTTTTTAGGGGTTAGGGTCTAGGGAGGGAGGGGAGGCTGGGGGTTAAGAGCTCATAAATGTGTGTTCTCCCTTCTTGTTTTGAAGGGGGGCGGGAACCCTAAACCCGACACCCTAAACCCCAAACCCTACACCCTAAACCCTAAACCATGAACCCTGCACCATAAACCCCAAACCCTACACCCTAGGTAGCCGACCCGAAGACACGACTGCCGATCTCAGAAGCTGGAGCCAGAAGTCTTAAACCGCAGGTGGGGATGTTTGCCCCTCATACTAACAGTCCTTGATAGGGATTATCATAGTACGATACTCCAAAAACCGTAAAGCCCCTAAACTTGGGATGCTTGCCCCTTATACTAACAGTCCTTAATAGAGACTATCATGGGGGGGAATTTTACATTTTTAAGGGTACTTAAACTCAATAAGGAACAAGCATTTCAATTTTTAATACTATCACCCCTCATACTAACAGTCCTTAACTGGGTTTTGGAGTACCACACTTTAATACGTCTTTTTTTTGTTCTGGGTTCCTCCTATAGCTACTTATACCTAAAAAGTATATACATATGTTTTTCCAGGGTCTACTCCAAAGTAGGGTTAATAGGTATTATACCAGGGGGTACTATAATCCCCATTAAGGACTGTTAGTATGAGGGGGAACATGCCACTTCGGAGGCCGATAAACAGGCTTCAGGAGTTAAGGTTTAGGAGTTTAGGAGTTTAGGAGTTTTGGGTTGAGGGTTTAGGAGTTCAGCTTATAAGAGCTTGAGTGAGAGTTTAGGGTTCAGGGCTTAGGGATTAGGAGTTAAGGTTCAGGAGTTTGAGAGTTTAGGGTCTAGAAAGGGTTCAAGTTTAGGCAAATCAACATAGGAAGGGTACTGCAGACTTCCCCGTTCAACTTGGGATGCTCCCCCGCATACTATCAGTCCTTAGTAGCGATTATAGTACCCCGTAATATAGTCCTTATTCAGAACTGCTAGTAAAAAAAGGGAACATCCCAACATTCAGCCCCAAACAGGACTGCCTTCGCCAGCGCGGCCGTGATTGAACAGTCAGCTGCGACTGTGGGGCTTAGGCTTTTTTGCCGCAGAGATAGTTCTGCACCTAAACCCTGAACCCTGAACCCCAACCCCTAAACCAGAAGCCCTAAACCACGCAACCCTAAACCCCACACACCACAAGGCACAAGGAAGCCAAAAACTATCACCAGACACTACAGCACCTAAACCACCTCAGCCCTGAACCCTAGTCTGAACTGAACCCTGAACCTCCAAACTCCAAACCCTAAGACCTACACCCTGAACTGAAGAACGAGCTCCCCCATAGTGACAAGACCCTACACCTTGCGTCGGGCAATCCCAGATTCACATTCGTTTGGGGGTTTGGGTTGAAGGGTTTATAGGGTTTGGAGGGATTATCGGGTTTATGGGGCGTATAGGCTGTAGGGTGTATTGGTTTCATAGGGTCGATAGGGTTTATACGGTTGACAGGGTTTAGACGGTTTCTAGGGCGCATAGGGCTTTAGGGTTTATGGGCTTGTGTGGGGTTTTATAGCTGTAGGGTTCAGGATTGTCAAAACAAGCGGCCATTTGGGGACGTGAGCCCTAGCACCCTGAAACCCCCAAAGCCTTCAGAATCTGCAGCAACACTAGCCATAGCGCAGGGTCTTTGTGCATCTGCAGGTTCCACCAGATGCAGCAAGGTCCTACCCAAGCTAAATGGGCTCATGGTTGCAAGTGCTTCAGGTGTTTAAGGTTTAGAGCCTAACGGGTTTAGGAAACTTGCTCATCTGCGTACCATGCTGCAGGAGCTGCAGCTGTGTTTCCACAAATTCGTTTTGCAGGGGGCTCTGGGCCAAGCATTAGCGCCTGGAGACCAAAGACAGCCCAAGAGCCGCAACCCCAAACCGGACCACGACTGGCTGAGGCTGAGCCCAGCCCCCCCTCCTGTCTACTACGCTAATGATGCAAGCATGCGCGTTTGTGGCCCCTCATGCACGGAGGGATGCCCCAAGGAGCTGGCTTGGCCAGGAAAAGCGCTTTCACGCTGACACAGCTGCGGTTCTGACAGGTGAGGGGGGGTTTGATAGAAGTTGTGGGCCCTTTCGGGTAGCTAGTCTAAACCATGCGGAAAATGCCATCATAGAGACCAACTTAAAACTCCTAAGTTGCAACCATACCGCTTTGCACCTATATGTGCACGTACATGCATCTCCTTTGCCAGCTCAAGACCTTTGCAGGATGCGCAGATCGGCTAAGATCATACTCTCTGTGCCCTAAGGCCAGAACCGCAAGCCCGTATTCTCCTGATACCCTGAAGCCTAAACCCTAAACCCTTTCAACCCCGGACCATACCCCAAAGGATCCATGTACCTGTGTGGTTTTTTTCTTGGGCCCTAAAGCTACTACATAGGAACCCCTTTAGAAGGCCCAAGTATATACTATATAGGTGCATGGATCCTTTGGGGAGGTTTAGCCCTGAAACTGGTGCGACTCAAAGCCTCAGAGACGCTGAGTGCTCAACGGACCAGGGTTTAGGGTTTAGGGTTTAGGGTTTAGGGCTTAGGGTTTAGGGTTTAGGGTTTAGGGTTTAGGGTTTAGGGTTTAGGGTTTAGGGCTTTGAAACTCGAAGTCTCTAAAGCCGTCGCCACGGATTGCGGATGGGACTGCAGCTTCTAAGCAAAGGCTCAGTCCCTTTTTTGGGCTAGTTATAGGGGATTCTAGTATACTACCCCAAAAAGGTACTCCAGAGGAGCCTTTGGGTAGACTCAAAGCACCCCCGACATCCCTAAGAATTCAGGGAACAGACGCCATGGAGCAGTATTCCTTCGCAGCGGCGAAGGCGCTCGGTCTTCAGTGTTCCGTAGGCCTTGGGATGATGACTGTCACGTAGGGGCTTAAGGCTTAGGGTTTAGAGTAAAATAGGGGCCGGAATAGTTAGTAATAGTATTCCCTTATGGCCCCTTTATGATTATACCCCAAAACCCTATTCTAACTATGAAGGCCCCCTACACTAACCGGCCTGGGTGTATAGGATGATCCGCAAGAAAACCTGACCTGTCTAGGGTGTCTCGCACACCTGGAGAAGTGAACCTTTCGCGAATCAAGAGTCCAAGGCCCTTCAGTCCAAACTTCCTTGGGTTTAGGGTTTAGGGTTTCGGGTTCAGGGTTTATGGTTGTTGTTGGGTCTAAGAGCAGGCTTGAGAAAGGCCCAGTACCCCTCAATCAATGCAAAGAATTCTACAGGTAGATTTCGTGGCTTCCCCTACTACCCCCCCCCCCCCTAGGTTCCCCCTTAAATAGCCTTAACTAGGCTTACTTATCCCAGAGCTGTAGTAGGGGGACCCATGGATTTTGGAGGGAAAGCCCTGCATAACAACCGCTCCTGATGCGGAAGCTCCCCAGAAAGCCCAATACCCCTTAATTAAGGAATATTCCCTAAATCATATTCAGGACCCCTTTATATGTAAGGTATATTGCTTACTTGAAGGGTATGGGGCTCTCTGGGCAGCTCTGGCAGGCTAGATTCCTTGAGCTTCCGCCCGCCGTGCGCTACGGCGCCGCGTTCGCCGGAGACTCTGCGGAGCTTCCTACTACCCGAAACCCTAAACCGTAAACCCTAGTCCCTAAACCCTAAACCCTAAACCCTAAACCCTAAACCCTCAGCCACAGCTCTGCGTCTGGAGTCCCTGGGGTTTTGTTGGACCCCATGGCCCTTTTTGTTCCTTATTTGTGGGTTGTACAACCCCGAAGACCCTTAGCCTAAATACTAACCCTACAAGAGGAGCCCCTATAGTTAATTCGAGGTTCCTGGGAGGGTTGAGCTTCGGGTGCTTAGGGTTGTTTGGTGTTTCATGGGTTGGGAGACGCCATGGCGCAGGATATGCAAAGTTCATGCAAGTCTGGGCAGCGCATGCCGTTACGCTCAGAAGTCTTGCTCCTCTTGCAGCTGAGGTTTTGCGTGCTGCTTGAATTAAGGCCCAAGGCTTGAGTGGTTTAGGTTGTCGGGCTGCGGCTCTCAAATAACCTTCAACCATACAGCCCCCAATCCTAAACCGACCCTAGACCCTAGACCCTAAACTCTAAACCCTAAACCCTAAACCCTAAACCCTAAACCCTAAACCCTAAACCCTAAACCCTAAACCCTAAACCCTAAAACCCTAAAACCCTAAAACCCTAAACCCTCAACTTGAAGTCGCCAAGGCCCTGTGGGCCTGGAGTTTTGCGTACACGGGCGGTGATCGGGCTGCTGTGCGAGCAAGACGACGAGGGGTTTTGTGAAGGATACCCAGTGGATTTGGGGTTTAGGGTTTAGGGTTTAGGGTTTAGGGTTTAGGGTTTGGCCTAAATCCTCAACCCTAAACCCTAAAGCCCTTTGTGCTGGTATTTGGGTTCCTTTCTGAACCGCATGCCTCCAGAAAGTGGTACCTTTGTTTTTGTTAGAGATGAAGAACTCTGCTCCGGGAACCCCATACTTTATTGAACTTCCTGAACATTCGTTTATTGTGCTCTAGTTGGCGTCATGCCTGGACAGAATGCTTGCAACCGAAAGGTTGATTGATCGATGTTGCCGCTGATCTTGTCGTGCATGCTTTCCACGCTGACAGCTGAAAGTGCAAACACAAGCTAAGTGTAACAACAGCTCTTGCAAACCCAGCTCTGCAAACCCAAAACCCTAAACCCCAAACCCTAAGCCCTAAAGCCTTTCGTCTCTGTGTCTTTAAATTGGTGCCTGGACTTGTCCCTCAGGTTCGAGTGGTCTCAGCTTCTCACCCCACAGTCGGCAACAAAAAACCTAACAAAAATCCAAGCAACAAAAACTACTACCAATTGCTCAAAAACCCTCAACAGTCATTAACAAAAAAGAAAAACCTTCCTTACAAGGGCACTATAGGGATTGTTATCCATTTCTTGGCGTTTCTGAAGCAAATAGTTGAAAGGCGGCCGAACGCACGGCTGTCTTTTAGCAACGCAGAAGGAAACGGTGATTCTTGGTTGGGCCTGGAGATCCAAAAAAACGCCTAACTTGCAATAAGCCATTGTAGGTCCCAGACCCTAAACCATTCAAAGTTGCTGCCGAAGTATGATTTAGTAATAACCCTAAACCCCGAACCCTAAACCCTAAACCCCAAACCCTAAACCCAAAATCATAAACGGATCCTGGGGTCCAACTGAGCTTGGGCCGTCCCCTGAGATTTACTTCATCGTCTCTGTGCTTGTCCTCATCTTCGGGCGCGCCTGCTTTTGGGGTTTGCAGTGGCTTTGAGGGCTTGTTGACAGCCTTTAGTCTTAGGGTTTAGGGTTTAAGGTTTAACCCTAAACCCTAAACCCTTAAACCCTAAAGCCCTGAAGTCCTTGTAAATTTCGTGACCTAGGTAGTCTCTAGAATTTTGTAACGTTGCCTTTGGGTCCATGTACCTTTTAATTTTAGGGCTGATGCAGGCCCAGGTCTTTGGGGTCCTTTTGCAGGGTCTCCTTAAACTTCAAACCCTGAACCCTAAACCCTAAACCTTAAACCCTAGACCCTAGACCCTAAACCCTAAACCCTAAACCCGAAACCCTAAACCCTAAACCCTAAACCCTAAACCCTAAACCCTAAACCCTAAACCCTAAACCCTCCCCAATTGGAGACTCAAGGGCAGCTAAGGCCTTTAACGGCCTGTTTGCTTTCTTCTTCTTGGGTTGGGGGGGCAGGTGCCCAAGAGAGTCAGGGCTTGCCAAGAGTCTGAGTTTAGGGTTTTCGAAGAGTTTAGGGTTTAGGGTTTAGGGTGCAGAGTTTAGCATCTGGGGCCTGGGTCTAGCTTACTTTGGCACAAGGGGTACTGGTCTCTGACGGATGCCATGTCTCGCAGTTTGAAGGCAGCGATGAGCCGAGTTTTGGTGAGTAAGAGTTGCCAGGGGTTTGGATCGAGGCTTGCGGTCTGCAAGTTTTCTCTGTATTCTGATAGAACCCTAAACCCTAAACCCTAAACCCTAAACCCTAAACCCTAAACCCTAAACCCTAAACCCTAAACCCTAAACCTTCTTACTTCTAGGTGCCAAATGCTTAAAGTGGCGGACGAGGCCCGGCTTAGCTCGCGAAAGCAGCGGCGAATACTCAGCTCCTTGGGCCTATTTTCGTGCAGAGTCACAACTTGATACGTCCCTCAACACAGGGCTGGAACTTCATTGAGCCTGCTGAACCCATTCCAAAACCCAAAGAGCCCTCTATTATATACCCCTTAGCTAAGTAAATCAGCATCTGGAGCAACACTACCACATCCAATTTCAACTCATTTACGTAAATTTTGGTATTTCGCATCCATTTTCGAACAAATAATGAGCATCGAAAGTCCAAAATCTTGTTATTTCGCTGCAAAATGTTCTGCCTTGATCCCAGGCGGGGGCAGGGCAAGGGCGAGGGGTAGGCTGTGTGGAATATCCGGCAGTCTGCGTGTCATGCTCGTATAAGCCTTCCTGCAAGGACCATGCTTACTCCAGGCGTCACTGCCAAATCAGACCCTTGTATAGCTTACAAATACCAGGTATATTCCTTATCAATTCAGTGCTTTTAATCATAAGAAGGATTCCTACCTCTCTGATTATGAGGTATATTGCTTCTTAAAGAAGGGGATTTTAAGGGCTCTGTGGAAAGCTGAGGCTTACTCCGCCCTAAAGGGCTCCGCCCTAAACCCTAAACCCTAAACCCAAAACCCTAAACCCTAAGCCCGAAAGGTGGGTTGTAAGGGCTCTTTGGAAAGCTGAGGCTTACTCCGTTTTCAACAAAGGGCCGGCTCCCCAGCGCGCGGGACGCCTCGCAAGATGTTGAGGCTGCGGTGCTGCGGGGTTCTACCGGTTGAACTTCCAAGTGCTCTCCGAATTATATACATATATATATATATATGTGTGTGTATGGATGTATGTATGTATATGTATGTATATATATATATGTGTTTACATTTGTAATTAATTATATTTATACAGCTCTAGAACTATTTGTATATACATATATATATATATATTTATTTATTTATTCATTCTGATACTCGGTTCCGATAGTCGCTACACGAAGAAGGGCATTTTGGTGGCTGGGGTGGAGGAGAACTTCAGGTTTTATTTGCAGTTTTCCCCCAGTTGCTTCTACTTTCAAAGTCCATATAAAGTCCATATATTTGTATGTGTTTGTTTATGTTTGTATTTCCGCAGCAGCCGTAGTATCCTTGAAGATGTCTTGGGAGGCCTTACGTGGGACCCCCCCCCCCCTGTGGAACTGCCGCGAAGTGTACATTGCCATGATAAATCTTTGAGCATTCTACCCTAAACCCTTAACCCTGAGCCCTAAACCCAAAACCCTAAACATTCTGTGGTTCTTGGGTGCCAACGTGGCCAGATTTTTGTGTAGCACGAAAGAAAGGAGTATGTAGGGATGATAATGGGAATTATCTACTACTTGCTTAAGACCCCCCCCCAAAGAATCTGCCATTTAAGGGCTAGCGATTGCTATTCATCATTTTGCGGGAGTCCTAAGTAAATAGTAGTGATTGAAGCTGCCTATACCAGGGTTTCGTACTTACACTCCAGAGACCTGGTGTTGCGAACCTTTGCAGGGCCACAACCTCCAGAACACAGCATCATAAGGCTGAGCTGTGTAGACTGCTTAGGGGTTATGTGTGCAAGGCTTACGTTCAGAGATGATTGGGTCTTGGGGCTTTTGTTCGGGTTTCGGGATTTAGGGGCTACAAGTATTGGGCCCATGAGAGTCCGTCTCTTGATCTTTCTGCTGATTTTGCCTTGCAAGATGCTTACCCTCACATCCGGGTTCTCTCCGCAAAGACATGCGCCTATCCAGCTGCATCTCTGCAAAGTGTTCAAACACCACAGAAATCCCCGAAGTGCTAGTGCCCCATTTAGGGTTTAGGGTTTAGGGTTTAGGGTTTAGGGTTAGGGTTTAGGGTTTAGGGTTTAGGGTTTAGGGTTTAGGGTTTAAGGAACCTGAACCCATGCAAAGCCGCCATTTCTACAGCTCTCAGGCAGCGCCACCTGCTCGGGGAGCTCCGCGCTGAGCAGATAGACGCTGAACAGCGCTGGGAGCCCGGCACCGACAGAGTGTGAGCCTGGGATGTTCCCCCTTATACGAACAGTCCTTCATAGGGATTCTAGTACCCCGTATTACAGTCCCTATGATTCTAGTACCCCGTATTGCAATCCCCTATGAAGGACTGTTCGTATAAGGGGGAACATCCCAGATGTGAGCCATGTTGGCCCTCGGCTTTGTTGGTTTCTGCTTCTGGTGTGAGCAGCACATGCCTATAGACTCCATGAATACTTGTAGCCTAAACCCTATACCCTAGACCCCCCCCCGCCTATGGCGTTCATGCTACCAGTACCTGGTCCCAGCTGGGCCGCACACCGACGTGAAAGGGTCCAAGACACCTTCCCCGCACACTCCCTGAAGTACTGTCTCTTGTGTTTATTGGTTGGTTGGTTGGCTGGTTGGCTGGTTGGTTGGTTTGTGTGTTGGTTTGTTCGTCGGTTGGTTTGTGTGTTGGTTGGTCTGTTTGTGTGTTGTTTTGTTTGTGTTTGTGCTTGTGCCTGTGCCTGTGCCTGTGCCTGTGCCTGTGCCTGTGCCTGTGCCTGTGCCTGTGCTTGTGCTTGTGCTTGTGCTTGTGCTTGCGCGCCTGCTCAGTTGAAGTACAGATACGGACAAAGGTACTTGGAGGGTGCTAATAATTACCCCATTTGTAGTCCTAAGTTTAAACCCTAAACATGTAAAGTATTCATTATACTTTTAACTACCTTCCCTAAATCCTAGGCCCCAAAGCCCAAACTTTTTTAATTTGCAGGTTCAGTACGCAAACCCACTAGGGCTTTCTAGCCCTAAACCCTAAACCCCAAACCTAAACCACAGACTGACAGAGGTGGTGATCAGAACCTTGCCAACTATGGCGGGGAAGCCCAGGCTCTCCAGGCCGTCTTGCAATTTGTTCAGGGTGTGTAGCCTGTTCCTACAGTGAGCTATATAACTTTACTACCTTTTGATATGGAGAAAATCCACCTTACTTCTCGGCGCATCGTCCTTTTTCAAGGGGGGTAAGCGCCGGGCGACGGTTGAAACTTTCAACGTTTAGGGGGGGGGGGGGGTTAGGGTCTTTGGGACCTTGCTTGTTAAGATCGCGGAGTTGGGGAGGGCTCGGGCTGGTCTGCTAGACGATCCTCATCGGGGTCTAGGGATTAGGGCTTAGGGGCCTTAGGGGTTCGGGGATTAGGGCTTAGGGATTCGGGCTTAGGGAAGATGGAGTTCTGCTCATTTCCGATTCCCCAGTGGCCGACCGGCCGACCATCCGAACCCCCAGAGAAGCGTCCACGGTTGTGTCTAACACTGCGTGGGTATGAACCTTTCATGGGTACTTATAACCACAGTTATCAGTCTACCTACTTTGGGGACTTAGGGGGCTTATAAGTAGAGTGTTAATTAGAGTTAGAAGTACCATGAGCCATACCTCTCTGCCTCACCAGGTGCACAAAACTCTACCATCTAATGGGAAGCCTCGATCCCAAAAGCTCCGAAATCCAGGGTTTATACTGCAGTGGTCTAAACATGTGCAGATCGTACCCCCATAAACTTACCCGAAGTACCATTCTTAGTATACCCCACTAAGATGTGCAGTATGACCCTTCTGTTTTTTGGGGGTCCAGACCCCTTATCAACCCAATTCAGCCTGCCAAACTGAAGCAGTCATGCAGTTGCTGCCATGAACTCCCATCGATGTCATGACGAGGCTTACAGGGAAAGGGCAACGCTAGCGCAGAAAAGACCTTGAGCTTCGCATGCATTTGGGCAGGTCTTGTACTAGATCCAGGCTCCTGCTACACGATTTATCGGGTTACGATTGCACTGGTAGCGACGCTAGGTGGTACGCACCTGCCTAGATGGCGACGCCGCCGTTCTTCGACGAGGACCTGTACGACTTTGCTGGCGCGGCCTCGCAGAATGGTGATGGCGCCGAGAGCGCTGTGGACAGCGACGAGACCTCGGTGTTGCCGGACGAGCCCCACCAGGCGAACGGCGCTGGCCCAGAACAGGAGAGTGCGATGGGCTCCTCTGCTGACGGTAGGCCTCGGCGGAAACGTGGTTCCCGAGGTGGCGCTGGCAATAGCAAGGAGCAGAAGGAGTCCGAGCGACGTTGGCGTTCGGGAGCCATTCCTCCGGCTCCAATGTTCGACGGGGATGTGGAGGCAAATCCATATTGCCTCAGACACTACAGAAGGAGACTTCGGAGATGGGTACGCTTGACACAAGAATACTTGCCAGCCAATGAACAAGCCCTGCGTGCGCTTGAGCAACTTCGTGGTGATGCCGAGTTGGAGTTCGAGGAGGTGGATGACAGCCGCTTCGACCACCCGGAGGGCATCCAGCGGTTGCTTGACGACCTTGAGGTGTCGTTCGGCGAGCGAGAGTTGTTCCGGCAGGGCGGCGTGATCCGGGAGTTTGAGTCCGTGGGAAGGATGCAGGGCGAGTCGATCACTGCGTTCATCCGCAGGTTCCGGCTCTTGGAGCGCAGGCTGGTGGAGAACAAGGTCCCGATGTACCCTGAGGCCACGCGCGTGATCAAGTTATTGGATGGCTTGAGGCTTGACGAGAAATCGACAGCATCGGTCTTGTTGGCGGCGGGGAATCGCTACGACATGGCCAGGATCCTGGAAGCCCTCAGAATCCAGTATCCCCCTGGGATGAGCGTGACTGGCTTGCCCAAGGGGCTGGCCACTTTGTCAAGGCCGTCCTCACGAGCTTCTTCGTCTCGGGCTTCTACCTTCCGGTCAAGCACGACGTCCGCTTCTACCAGGAGAAGTCGTGGAGCGCGATCTAACTGGAAGCAGTGGCACACTGAATGGGAAGTACCTGAAGAGCAGGAGGAAGTGCCCGACGAGGAGGTTGAGGCCGAGGAGTACCAGGGCGAGGAGCTCGACTACGAGATTGAGCCCAATGAGGAGCTGGACGCGCAGGACTACGACGATGAGGAGTTGATTCCGGAGATCGGCGAGGGCCAGGAGGCTGACGGCTCTTCGGACATGAACGCGCTTCTGGCCGCGGCGGAGGCTCTCACCGTGACGTCCAAGCGTTTGGCTGGTTTGGTGCAGGCCCGTGGCTTTTACCAAGTGGACGGCAAGAGCAAGGGCAAAGGCAAAAACTCTGCGTTCAAGAAAGGAAAAGGCAAAAGCAAGTCCGGATCCAAGGGCGCCAATCAGGGTGCCAAGAGTGCTGGAAAAGGGGGCAAGAAAGGCCTCAGCCGCGGACTCGGCAAGGGTTCCGGTGACAGGCAAGCTCGACTTCACGGTTCAGCTTGCTTGGGATGCGGGGCCACTGATCACTGGGTGCGAGATTGCCCCCATGTGAACAACTACCAGGCACAGCTGGCGACGGCCGACGTGGAGCTCGATGCTGAGGGATATCCTGTTTGTTACATGATGTCCGTTGCCGTAGAAGAGGATCCGGTTGGAGCTGAGAACCCTGTGCACTCCGTTGAAAAGCAAGTCCAAGTGTTCAGCGTGCCGCGACCCCCCTCCATCATGTTGAGCACCTGTTCGGATGCCTCCTTTTTGATAGCCGACACAGGTTGTCAACGTCAAGTTGCTGGCACCAAGTGGCACGAGCAACACATGTTGGAAATTCAGCCCCTGAAGAGATTGCGTTTTCCAGAAGTTTGTAGGTTCTCTTTTGGTCCTGCGGACGGTGTTCCCAGCCTTGGCCGATATTTGTATCCAGCTGGGATTGCGGGTGAGTTGGTGGCTTTGGGGATAAGCGAAATTGACTCGCCAGCACCGGGACTGCTTTCAAGACCAACCATGGAGGCTTTGGGCGCGGTGCCAGACATTCTGGAGGGCAAGGTGTACTTCAGGGCTTTGGGGGGAAGATCTACACGCCTGTATCTGAGTCCATGTCGGCATTTAGCCCTGAAGATTGATGAGTGGCCTGAGCACATCTCTGAGTGGCCAGTCGAGTTGCAGCAGCTTGATCCCGCACATGGCCCTCCAGATGTTTTTCACAAAGATATGTTCCCGCCCGAGAGAGTGCGGCTTGAGACGCTCAGAAATTCGAAAGCAGCAAAGCCACCCCCTTATGCGCCCCTCGAGCAATCGGCCTTTATGGCTGCTTCGGTGGCAGACGCTGCTGCTCCATCTTCAGGAGCTGATCTACACAACGCAGCAGGCAGTGCTGCATTACTCGGCGGCCTCCTTGAAGCCCAGGCTGAAGGACAGGATCCTGGAGCTGTTCATGGAGCCCTGCACGGCAGTGACAATGATGACGACGCAGGCGGCCATGGCGGCAGCAGCGCAGCTTCAGCTGAACCACTACGCCAAGAACCCCGACAACTGCCGGCATCCCTCAGGAACCAGGACGTACACAGCCGCCGGGATGAAGATCCAGATCTGCGACACCTGTGGCAGCCGATGGGTGGTCATGCCGACCGGGGGAACCGTGGAGGCCACACCGAAGGCGAATCCCAACGCCAAGACGCCACTCGACCTCAGCGACGCGGCCAAGAGCAGGCTACAAGCAGCAAGCAAGGCGGCAGTCAAAGGCAAAGCAAACGGAGCTGGACGGGGATCAGCAAGTTGGTCACAGCCATCCTCGGGATCCTCGCGGGCACCATCGCAGGCCATTCCGCAACCTCGCATGCCACCGCCACCACCTACAGCCACGTCCCGAGTGCCGGTTCCGACTCAGACTCCGAAGGCCTACCAGATGAATGGACAGCAACCGCCGCGACGACCTGGAGGCGGCCAGAGGTCCGTGTCAGAGGTGGACACCCTGGACGACACTTCCGACAACATGAGTGTGACCTCGCGGCTGACGATGTCGGAAAACGAAGCACAGCGACCTCGAGTTCGTCAATGGCAAGGAACCCATCGAGGACAAGGACTGGGGCTTCGACGAGCGCAGCCACTACGGAATCCGAACGAGGAGGAGCCGGCCGAGTGGACAGCCGAGAACGAGGCGACGGAGTTCCACGACTACATGATGGATCGGGCCCAGGACCCGGACTATTGGGACGAGCAGAGGAGCCGAGACGATTGGGACGAAGCGGACATGGCGCGATATGTGCCTCGGGACCTTTGAACTCTCCGAGTTCCGCTCCTTTGTTGACTTCCCCAGATGAGCCCTTGGACGTTGAGGATCGTGGATGTTTCGCAATGAAAAAGGGCACCCGCAAAAGATTGGCTGGTGCCGCAAAGCTGCTATGGCAAGAGTGGAACACGGAAGCCAAGGTGTACCAGAATCGAGCCAAATTGTGTCGCGCTATGCGACGCCACAAAGTGGATTTGGTGGAGATCTATGGCGGCCATGCCGCAATCACCGAGTTCGCCTTGAAGTCGGGCTTGAAGACCCTGCAGCCCGTGGACCAGATCTACGGGATCCAGTTGGACACCTCGGAGGACTTCCAGGCGCTGGAGGCGATGTTGGAACGTTGGCTCCCGGCATTGGTGGTGTGGGAGATATCCTGCACTCTGTGGTCTAACTTGCAGTACCTCAACCGCAGCCAGGATGAGCTACAAGAACTTCGCGCCCGCGAGCTTCGACATGTAAGGTCTATGGCGAAGATCATTCATCGACTGGCTGAGAAGGGGGTTCACTTCTTGGTGGAAAACCCTTATGGAACGGCCTTTTGGGAGCAACCGCCCATGCTCCAACTTCGCACACTACCCAACACGATGTTGAAGATGGGTTGCATGTGTGCCTTCGGCTTAACAGACAATCACGGCATGCTGTTGAAAAAGCCCACGGGTTGGTTGAGCAACATGCCCGAGCTTTTGGACGAGCTGGCCCTTCCGTGCACTGGAGATCATGAACATGGCCGGTGTTTGGGTGGCGACATCGCCAGAAAGGCACAGGTCTACACAGACCAATTGGCTAGAGCTTGTGTGCGGGGCCTTATTCGAGGCCTGACCAGACTGGGAGACGAGAGGTGGTGTAAGAACTACCTCAGTCAAGCTGATATGCCCCACTCTGACAGCACCTGGACCAGCGAGGTGAACTACGGCGACTCGCTGGAGAACTTCGAGGCGCAATGGGAACCCCCTGGAGAGCATGTGGCGGGCGTATACTTCCTCGACATCAACCGCCACGTGGAGTCCTGGAGGCCCTTGCTGAAGGAGGCCGAAGGACGCCTCCAGAACATCACTACGAGCACGATTACTTTGAAACCCTCGCCGTTTGTGGAAAAGGTGCGCGCCCTCGTGCCGTGGGATTTGCAAAGAGTGCAACTCAGCAAGGCTCCCAAACAGCGAAGGCTACCGGATGAAGTGCTCATGAATGGAGCCAAGCATCGCGGTGCTGCATTGTGGTGCAATGACGAGGAGATCCGCCTGGAGGCTGAAGAGATCAAGTCCATCGTTCATGCCCCGGCCGGAAGGTACGAGAAACCCATTCGTGTCGGCATCTACTTCTACGGAGTGGCACCGTCAAGCAGTCTGAACCCCAAGGATGACGCCGCGCCGGAACCACCACGGTTAGCTACCATGCCTGAGGAGGTGGAGACCACGGATCGCATGCTTCCGCATCAACCTGGCTACAGAGACATCTCCTTTCCTGGCATTGAGTTACCCCAGTGGGTTCAACAGGTGTTGAGACGTCTGCACTGCAACTTGGGTCACCCACCAAAGGAGGTGCTGGTACGCCAGTTGACCTTGGCTAATGCCTCTGACGTCGCCGTAAAAGGAGCCAGGCATCTTCGTTGTGAGGTGTGTTTGCGGGTGGCACCTCCTCATCAACCTCGCACAGTTAAGGCCTTTCAGCCCAAGCGCTTCAACGATCGCTTGTGCATCGACATCCTCTACATCAAGGACCTTCAAAAGCGGGTGTACATGTACCTGAACTGTGTTGATGACGCCACCAGCTATCAGGCCGCATCCTACCTTGGCGACCGTTCCGAGGACAGCGTCGTCAAGAACCTGCTCAATGGGTGGTTCACCTTCTTCGGACCGCCCGACGAGATGACAGTAGATGCGGAGGGTGCCTTCCGAGGAATGCGGTTTGAAAGCTTGCATGCCCAGCTGAACGTGGACATAAGAGTCGTCCCTCCAGATGCCCATTGGCAACTTGGCAAAGCAGAGCGGCATGGTCAAGCTCTCAAATGGAACGCAGCCCGCCTGATATCACAGTTCGCAGCCACGAACCTGGCGGAGGTCAACCTGTGCGTGGCGATGGCAGTTCACGCAAAGAACACTCTCATCCGCCGCTCGGGATCATCGCCATCTCAGTGGGTGTTTGGACGCAACCCCAAACTTCCAGCCTCACTCCTGAGTGATGGGGGTAGTATTGAGAGCTGCCAACTCACCTCCGATAGCGATCGCTTGCAACAGATTGAGGCGGTGAGGACCCAGGCCATGATGAACCACCACCAGTTTGAAGCTCATGCTGCCCTTCGTGCCGCTCTTTTGCGTAAAAGCCGGCCCTATCGAGGCCAGTTGTTCCCTGGACAGAAAGTGGCTTACTTCCGCTTGCGATCCACCCAGTTTGATGGAGAGGGCTCGGTGGAAGGCTATCGCCAGGGCATCGTCTTGGCCTTGGACCGTAATCCCAGCTCCAACCTGGCCACCAATGTCTGGATTCGCAACAGCCGCGGTCGAGTGGTGCAGTGTGCTCCTGAACAGGTCCGCCCTGTCTTCGGTGCACCGAATGTTGACCAGGACTTGGCTGCGCATCCGCGCGCTTTTCGGGCCCCGCTGGGCAACCATCCTCGTCCTGCAGGGGATCTTCGGGTGCTTCAAGACGTGAACCAGACTGCAGAGGAGGCCCGTCCCGTCGATGAGGCTAGTCCTGCTCCGGTTCTTGATGCCCAAGGCCAGCCGGTGGAGCCGGCCATGCTGAATCCGATTCTAATGATGCCTCCTACGCCGCGGTCGTCTCCTGCAACTCCGAGCCGGCGTCCGAGGGAACGTTCTCGCTCTGCAGCGCGAGCTCCTCGTCCTTTGACCTCGGTGCCTGAGGAAGTAACCGTTCCTCGTCCAGAAACCAGTCTTCCTCCAGATCGTGCACTACATGCTTCCGGCCCACCAGAAACCAGTCTTCATCCAGATCGTGCACTACATGCTTCCGGTCCACCAGAAACCAGTCTTCATCCAGATCGTGCACTACATGCTTCCGGCTCTTCAGGAACCAGTCTTCAGTCGGACCGTGCACTACCTGGAGATTCAATTGTCAAAGGCTCTTCTGGTCGACGCAGTGCTGAAGCTGATGCTGTGTCTGGAACGGGTTCACCGCCGGTGGGACCATCACCACTACCATCACGCGATCTGTCAAGGCAAGTGTCAAAGCAAGAGTCGAGCTCCGGTATGACCCAAGAGCTTGAGAGACTTATTTCCGAGGAATACCCCGAACTGCGAGGCATCAAGCGACAATCTGATATCCCTACTGATTTGTTGAGCGCGGAGGGGAGACCTGTACCCGCACAACCTTCGGCAGCCTTACCTGAAGCCGAATTTCTCCTGGTCTTCTGTCAACGGTGCGGTGAACAACCCCGGGGCACACAGAAGCCTACAATTTGCGCAAGGTGCAGCTGCAGCAACTTCGTCGACTCTCCCAAGGAGGTGACCTCTTGGTTTGATGAGATCAAGGAAAGAGAGGCCTTTGATCGTCTTCTACCCGGCGGTAATACTACGGGCCTGGAGACCAAGGACCTCTTGAACAGCTTTCCCTCTCGACCTCAGGACACGAACGATGAAGAGGTTGCGGAGCTCACCGCTTTTTCTTCAATGCAGTTTTCCTGTAAGCCTTTGTCTTTTCAATCTGTGCATCGACTCGATGTGTTGCGCCGACATGCCCGTGGCGAGCATCTTCGATATGGATGGGACGGTACTCCAGCTGAAGTCCCTCGAGGCTATGAGCATCAAGCTTTTCTGACTGCAGCCCATTACTTCGGCCATCACAGCGAGGAAGAGACCAGCCCCTCGGAAGAACCCCACGACACGCCCGTGGCCAAATCACCGCCACGAGCCAGACCTCCGAGCCTGTCCGAGGCCATGGCCAAACGGCTGCTCCAGCTGGAGGACTTTCGCCACGTTACTTGTCATCAGCTGCTGGACACCGTCAAGTTCTTGAGCAAAGATACTTCCAAGCGTCAGAGCCACAGCCCAGCGCAGAGCGACAGTGGCACCTTGACCTTGGGCCTTTATAGTCATGGATCACAGACCGGCCTCACAACAGCTACGAGCGAGCATGCCACGTTGATCAAGTACTTGGTGCGCTATCTTCAACACCATGGCATGGACACCGGCATCACCAGCATCCATGTCTCCAAGAATATCCAGTCGCGGCCACACCGCGATTGCAACAACGCCGAGAACTCTTTGAATTGGCACATCAGCTTGGGCAACTTCAGCGGCGGTCAGTTCTGGGTGGAAAGCTCCGCGACCAACGATGACTCCCGAAGCGTGGTGACGCGAGAGGTCAACGGGAAAATGTTGCCGGGCTACCTGAGCACCACCAGGAATCGCTTGGTGTCCTTTGGGCCGAAGCAATACCACTACACGGAGGCCTACCAAGGAGAGAGATACGCCATCACTGCCTACGAGACTCGTTTGTTCAAGACTGCTGAGCCTGGCCTGAAGAGGCAAGTTCGGAAGTTGGGTTTGCCTACGCCCAGAGCCTGCCGAGCTTGGCTGGAGTTTCCGGCCTATGAAGCCTACCCTGCCAAGGTTCAGTCTTCAGCATGCGGCGAGGGAGAGACCTTGCTAGCAATGGAATCAAGCGAGAGCGAGGGGAACGACGGCACCTTTGAGACTCGACGAGCAGCCAAGCAGGCCAGAAAGAAGGAAGTCCCTTGGCAAAGCATGACCCCCGAGGAGGTGCCGGAGTTCGTGAAGGCGCTGCAGCAGGAGTGGAGTGAATGGGAGAGATGGTCCAGTTGCAAGCCCATTTGGGTTCGCGAAGGAGAGGTGGCGGCGCATCTGATATTGCGCAGTCGCGTATGCTACAGGTGGAAGCCCATCCCCGACGGGCAGAAGCCTAAAGCTCGCATAGTGGTGCTAGGCTTCCGAGATCCGCATCTACCGTGGCTGGCCCGGGATGCCCCTGTGTTGTCGAGGTCAGCCTTCCACCTCATGCTTCAGTGGGCCGCTTCCAGGAGGGTCAAGCTTCACAATGCCGACTGCAAAAGCGCGTTCTTGCAGGGGGACCCCGATGTGGAGCGGCCGGAGAACATCTACATGCGACCACCACAGGACCCTGTTGCACTGGAGGCCAACCCTGATTGGCGTGACTCCAGACTTCTATACCTGCTCACGGCTCCTGTGTATGGCCAGGCCAACGCTCCTCGCCAGTGGTATGAACACGTCGTGAGAGTCCTCCTGTCGTTGGGATGGTCGAGACATACGCTAGATCCATGCTTGTTCCTTTGGAGGCAAAAGGATGAAGTAGTCGCCGTCTTGGGGATACATGTGGATGATCTCATCGCTGGCGCACTTCCCGACTACCAGAGCACCCTCAAGGATGTGGAGAAGTCTTTCACATGGGGATCACCCTGGGTCTCTGGGGAGTTCACCTTCGTAGGCCGTCACATTAAACAATGGCCTGACGGGAGCATCACGATAGACCAGTCGGGCTACGTCAACGAGGTGCCGACTACGAAGGTCAAGCTCAGCGACGACACCAAGCTAAGCGACCACGCCGACTTGGTGACGGAGTTTCGATCGGGCATCGGGTCGCTGCAGTGGCTGGCGGGCACGACTCGAGGAGACATCGCTGCAGACGTGAGCCTCATCCAGAGATCACCTCAGGAGCTCACCGTGGGCGACTTGAAGGAGGTGAACGGGGTGTTGCGTTATGTGAGGGCAACGAACGACGCCTACCTGCGCATCGTGCCGACTGACTTCAGCGAGTTGATCTTGGTGTGCTACGGAGATGCTGGATGGGCCAATGCCCCAGGACACAAATCCCAAGGAGGGCTGGTCATCGTTGCGACGGACAAGAAGGCCCTTGGGGAAAAGAGGAGCGCGTCTCTCCTGGAATGGAAAAGCTACAGACATCAGCGCATTCTTCGCTCTACCCTTGCTGCTGAAGCCGCCTCGCTGGACAAGGCGTTCGACCATGGAAACTATATGGCCATGATGCTGAGCGAGATGATGGATGGCGGGTTCTTGGCAACCATGAACGAGCGGCCGCTGTGCGAGGTGCTGCCGGTGACGGATGCTCGGTCCTTGTGGGACTCAATTCACCGTCTCACGACGAATTTCCAGGAGAAGCGGGTAGAGATAGATGTGGCCGCTTTGAGGCAATGCTGCAAAGGGCTCAGATGGGTCCCCACAGAAAGTCAGATAGCTGATGCCCTGACCAAACGGTCACGGACTCTTAGAGATCAGTTCCGCCAATGGATGGCATCTCCTTTCGTAACGTTGGTTGACAGCAAGCAGCCCAGTGACGTAGTTACGGGAGGCGATGCTAACCGCGCTTGGCGCGCATAGGGAGTTTCAGGCAGCCTAAATAAAGAGGAGTGCCAAACTGAAGCAGTCATGCAGTTGCTGCCATGAACTCCCATCGATGTCATGACGAGGCTTACAGGGAAAGGGCAACGCTAGCGCAGAAAAGACCTTGAGCTTCGCATGCATTTGGGCAGGTCTTGTACTAGATCCAGGCTCCTGCTACACGATTTATCGGGTTACGATTGCACAGCCAACCAAAATGATCAAAAAAGGGTTTTCGATTTAGGGTCTTCAATTGGGCACGGGGCCAACCTGGCCACGAACAACACCCGAACATCCCGAAGTCCCTAAACCGTAAATCCTAAACCCTAAACCCTAAACCCTAAACCCTAAACCTCTCGGCCTTCTCGGAAGCCCACAGGTGCCCTGGTTTCCCTTCTTGGCTGCTTCGTGGTTCTGTTTCCTTCATAGAGCCACCACTTTGGTATCTTACAGTAGAAATCTGGGTTCTGGCCTCCCTTAACCCTAACCCCTAAACCCTAATTAACCCCTAAACCCTAAACCCAGCCATACGCAGCCTTCGTGAGCTCACCGCGCAGACCATGTCTTCAGTTGGTCTTGCCCAGGTCAAGGCGAGGACGGAGGCTCGCGCAGTGCTCGGATTTCGGGTTTAGGGTTTTTGGGCTCAAGGTTTCGCATGAGCTCGGGTCTAAGGGCAGTTTCATGGGCCCTTAATATGGTCCCTCACCTCCTTTAAAAATTCGGAAGTATGGGCCTGGAAACCCTAAACCCTAAACCCGAAACCCTAAACCCTAAACCCTTGGGAGAGAGAAGGTTGGATTTGGGAGGTCTTAGATGTTGAGGCTTCAGGGATCTGGCATCTTGAGCTTAGATTTAGGGCCTAGGGCCTAGGGACGCACGCACACACATATGCATCTATGTATGTATATATATATACATACATACATAGACATATCAATATATAATCATATACATATATACATATATACACACACAATACAAATAAATAAATAAATAAATAAAACAATATAAATAAATATATATAAAATGTATATACATATATATATATATATACATATACACGTACTTGCGCAGCCAACATTCCAAAAGTCCCAGCCCCCTCAAGCTGCTGTCGCTCTGTGGGGTTCAGGTTCAGGGTTTAGGGTAGTAGAAGCCATGGAACTAAATAATTACCCTTAAAACCAGAAAGGGCGCCCTTTTTATTCCTAGGTTACTCCTGGGTCTAGGAATTAAAATACCCCGACCCTAAAAAGCGCCCTAAGACACCCGAAACCCTAAACCCGAAAGCCTAAACCCGAAACCCTAAACCCCAAAGAAGCGCCCTAAGACGCCTAAAGACGGGGACAGCGGATGCGGCGCCTGCCAGGCCTCATCCTTCTTCCGGGCACCGAGGAGGAGGAGGCCGGGGATGTTGAACTTAGTAGAGGGTTTGGGGTTTAGGGTGTAGGGAAAGGGTTTGGGGGTTTGGGGTTTAGGGTAAAGGGTTTAGATCACCTTTAATCCCCTCCCCCTATTATTAAACGCCCCCCCCCCCCTCTCCTTAAACATTCGAAATTTGTGTTTAGTATTAGGGGGAGGTTCTTATTGAAATGTCACAATTAAACCCTTAACCCTAAGCCCTGAAAAAATTAAACCCTTAACCCTAAGCCCTAAACCCTTAACTTAGACGCCCAACCCTAAACCCTCTGAGGGTTTCATTGGTGTTGAGGGGTTTATTGGAGGCCTGAACCCCCCCCCCCCCCCCCCCCCCCAATTCGGGATAGCGTTTAAAAGGCGGTGTCGGTTTCGGCAGGATTTCCGGAAAGTGTTTTTATTATTAGGGTGGATTTTGGTGTATAAACAATCCGACCATACATAGTTGAAAGGCTAGCCTTTTTGGGGCAGGGTACTCAGCAACTAGGTGAAGGTTTCGAGTCTAGAGGGTTTAGAGTCTCGAGGTTTCATGGTTTAGAGGGTTGAGAGGGTGGGTTTAGAGCTTAGAGTTTAGAGTGCTCTGGGTTTAGGGTTTAGAGGGTTGAGGCTTTGCCCTGAAATTTGGTAGAAAAAACCCTCCCCGAAGCATCCACAGCCCTCGAGCACGGAGACCCTGGAGCCCAAAAATCGACATGGGGGGTCACGAATTTAGGGGCGGGGTGCCTTATGGGGGTCCTTTCTATCAGGAGATCCTACGATTTGGGATTCCATATGAGGGGTCCCCTATTTGCGTAGACCCGCATATCCCAGAAAACCTCGACCCACGACAGGAACCCAGAGAGCCCAATACTCCTTAATTCAGGAATATACCTTAAATTATAAAGGGGTCCTTAATATGATTTAAGGAATATTCCTTTATTAAGGGGTATTGGGCTCTTTGGGTGCCCGAAATACCCTAAACCCTAAACCCTAAACCCTAAACCCTAAACCCTAAACCCTAAACCCTAAACCCTAAATCCTAAACCCTAAACCCTAAACCCTAAACCCTAAACAGGAAGACAAGCCCCTCATTCGGAGCCGGGATGCCAATCGGCCCGGAACTCAGGGGGCGAGCCCGAGAAGTCGCGACAGTCCTACCTCCTAAGCCTTGGGGGGGACCTAAACCCTGAACCCTAAACCCTGAACCCTAAACCCTAAACCCTAAACCCTAAACCCTAAACCCTAAACCCTAAACCCTAAACCCTTTCGAGGCATTTGAACCGAAGGCACTTTAACTCGGCAGGCCCTGGCGGCTGTTTTTTATATCTTCCATGATTGGGTTTAAGGGGATCATATTCAGGAATCTATTTCAGAGGGGTTTAAGGGCCATCCTTGTTTACTGTAGCTCCTGTTCGGAGAACATCCTAGGGTTTCGGGCCATTCCCGTTCGAACCCCGACTTGCACCATGAGCCCCGAACTCTCTTTGAACAGAGTTGTTTAGGGTTTAGGGTTTAGGGTTTAGGGTTCGGGTTTAGGGTCAGGATTGAGGATTTAGGTTTGGGGTTTTATGGCCGAGAGAGTTTTGTCCGGTACAGCTCTGGCAATTAAGTAGTGGCCCAGCGCACGTACCTCTACACCTTAAACCCTATCAACCCTAGACCCTACACCTTAGACCCTCTAAACCCTAGACCCTTAAACCCCCAAAACCCCAGACCCTACACCTTTAATCCCTATCAAACTCGAAACCTTGGGATGTTCCCCCTCATGCAAACAGTCCAAAAAAGGGATTGTAGTACCCCCTATTATGATCCCTAAGTATTCTTTTAAAGACGGTTAGTATAAGAGGGAACATCCCAACCGAAACCCCAAACGTACTCTGCGTCTGAGTGGGGGCCTGGCAGGCCTTGCCCTTGCGGCTCAGGCAGGGCGGGCCCGTGCTCGATTTTTTGCCCGCTGGTAGCTTAGGGTTTAGGGTTTAGGGTTTAGGAGATTCCCCCAAGTGCCCTTTTCTCAGCAGTAGCGTAGGTAAGCGATTTAACCTTCTTCGGGTATCATCATCCCTTTGCAGTTTGTACACGTGCCCCAACAAACTCCCATTCATGCGCCTTTCTTGTGACCATGAGACGGGGTACTCGGAGTGAGGATTTTTTGAGTGGGTTTCTGCGGGAACCTCGGAGGTTATAGTCTGTCTTTGTGGAATCATGGGGCCTCCGAGCGGTTTAGGGTTTAAGGTTTAGGTTCTGCTTCAGGGTTTAGGGATAGTGGCTAGGGCCCTAAACCCTCAGTCCTAAACCCCTTTTCAGGGTAGAGTTTAAGGTCCGTGTTGGAGGGACCAATCATTTTTGTTTTTTTTGCCAAAATGGCAGCTTGTGTATTCTTAGGTTCCTGAGGGGAGGGAGCCTAGGCAACCCTATCACCCTAAACTGAACCCTGCGTACTAATCTAATGCCCTAATCCCTAAGCCTAAACCCTGAACCCTGAGTGGGATGTCCCCTGAATGGACACGATGCCATCCCTAGATCACGCCCAGATATCATCCTAAAGGGTTTAAGGGTTTTCGCTGTAGGTCATCTTCTAACTTTCGAGCTTAGGGTTCAGGGCCTAAACCCCAAACCCCAAACCCCAAACCCCAAACCCCAAACCCCAAACCCCAAACCCCAAACCCCAAACCCCAAACCCTAAACCCTAAACCCTAAACCCTAAACCCTTCCACAGCCCTGCCAGGCAAGAAGGCCAAGCGCTGCTGCTTCGACAACCGTCAGCCAAGAGCCCCAGGCCTTCGGGGGAACGGTCAGGGTTTAGGGTTTAGGTTTAGGGTTTAGGGTTGGGGTTTAGGGTTTAGGGTCTAGGGTTTAGGGTTTAGGGTTTAGGGTTTAGGGTTTAGGGTTTGGGGTGTGCTGGAATGTGGCGCAGATGCTGTGAAGGTAAGGAGGCAGAATCGAGCTCGGCCTGCCTCCTCGCGGCCTCACCCTCGGCCCTCAGATTCGTTTCGGTTCAGGGCTGTGCAGGATGTGGTTTAGGGTTGAGGGTTCAGGGTTTAGGGTCCAGGGTTTAGGGTTCAGGGTTTAGGGTTCCAGGTTTAGGGCTTTGGGTTTTGGGTCTAGGGTCTAGGGTTTAGGGTTTAGGGCTGTGCAAAGGGCGACGGCGCCGGTTTCTAGGACCCGGAGTAGGCCCTTGTTTCCTTTGTTAGGGTTGGGGTTCCCTTATAACCACCCCTTAAAAACCGAAAAGGGTACCCTTTGTTTTCCTAGGCTATTCCAGGGTCTAGATTTCGTCTTGGCATGCGTGATGTGGCCTCTCGTGGCCCCACGTGCTCTCATTTGGAGGCAGACGACTCCTAGGAGCTCAGCGGAACCAAACTTGTGGCTTTGCAGGTGACGAATTTCCTGACGACAAGCTCGAAAGCTTCGTCCGGTGCGAAGAGCAGCCTTGTCCCGCTTGTGGAAGGCCATCGACCCTAAACCCTAAACCCTAAACCCTAAACCCTAAACCCTAATTAAACTCTAAACCCTAAACCCTAAACCCTAAACCCTAAACCCTAAACCCTAAACCCTAAACCCTAAACCCTAAACCCTAAACCCTAAACCCTAAACCCTAAACCCTAAAC